CTCCTCTGGGTACATTGACTTCAATACAAAACCTAGGAGGCTCTTGGTTCTCACCCCCTTCCATAGACTTACACAGTAATTATGACAACTTCCGGAGGACGTCCTCCAACCTATCAGAGCTCTTGCAGCATGAACTGACATGTTGTTCACCCAATCAAAGGATCAGAGAATGAATCTAGTACTGAAGCATAAACTACAGCTAGCTACCACTGCAGTGCATAAAATGTGGTGAGTAGTTGACTCAAAGAGCGAGAAAGACCATAGTTGAACAGTTTTCAACAAATTAATTTCTTCATAAATGAAGAAGCAAATTTCTTTTCAGTTTCACTTACTTAGCTAGCAAATGCAGCTAGCTAGTTTAGTTACTCAAACACCCGGCTCAAACAGAGGGATGCTATGTTAGCTAGCTGGCTATGACTATCCAACACAACACTGGAACTCTTCCAAGTCTACTCTCCCGAGTGGCGCAGTGGTCTAGCTGTGCCACTAGCTGTGCCACTAGAGATCCTGGTTCGAATCCAGGCTCTGTCGTAGCCGGCCGCGACCGGGAGACCCATGGGGCGGCGCACAATTGGTCCAGGGTAGGGGAGGGAATGGCCGGCAGGGATGTAGCTCAGTTGGTAGAGCATGGCGTTTGCAACGCCAGGGTTGTGGGTTCGATTCCCACGGGGGGTCAGTATAAAAAAATTATGTATGCACTAACTGTAAGTCGCTCTGGATAAGAGTGTCTGCTAAATGACTAAAATGTAAGTTAAGGTAAGCTTTTGGTTTGATTAATTTATTGCCACCAGGGCCCGCCTGTCTAACTGCTTACTGACTATACACTGTAACGTTACTGCATGATTGTAGCTGGTTTACTAACGCATTAGTTCTATTAGCTATGTTGACTAGGATGTTACTTTAGCTAAAATGGGGACAACGATGTAGGCTGTGTGTGGCGGTTATGACATGATTTGGCTGATGTGTTTTTCATTGAAGTCCACAAACGAAGGGAAAAGGTGAGAGGAGGAATTAAAAAATAATTAATCCTCCCTCATCATAAACGGCACTGACCGCCACTGGAGTGGACGAATGTGCGTGGGTAGCCTACAGGAGCACCTTTTGTTAAGTGATTATTTGACAATCAGATGAAAACATCATGACTGGTTGTGTTTATGCCACATTAAAGGGTATAGGAGGCGTGTCCATAAGGCGAGAGGGGAAGCTACACTAAAGTCAATTGAATTAAAATGCCAAAGTTATATAGCCTAATTAGATTACTCCTGTCTATACAGAAATAAATAAAATAATTCAAAATAGGCTACTACACCAGAAAGCATGATTTGGCCACAAAGGATCATAAGCTTCTTAAAATAAAAAAGTTTTGGATTGTTTTAAATCGCGTAGCCTACAGTCCGAAGGGCCCGCAGTTTGGGCAGCGCACGCTGCAAATACCAAATAAATGATTGTTGAGTTGTGACTGTCAGTTAAAAGCAGAGAGACCCAGCCAGGCATATCGCAATATTTCAAAATACAATCACAGAAAAACAGTTTGGAGAGCAAATGGCTATTGCTGTAAAGAGATGACAATGAAAAGCTTCCAATCTGTCTTTTAGTTATCAAAATTCTTAACTTTATTGAGCAAACAGAACAGTAGCCTATCATATTGCACTAGCGGAGAACATCGGCCATATCTTGGTGAGTGTGCATATTCACTGTCTTTGTCATTGGGTCAGTGCCACTTTTGTTTGTGTTTGGACAATAATTTCCTCCTCGCTTTTCGTAGGCCAATTATATGGATCAGACAACATCGTTTATATCAGGGGTGTCAAACGTACGGCCCGCGGGCCGGATCAGGCCCGCAAACGAGATGATTTAAAAAATAAATAAAAAAAATATATATATTTTGTAAAGTATAAAAATGCGCTGAAATTTTTCAATAAAATAAACTGCTGTTCCAATTGCGTCCACTGGATGGCGCAATAGCAATTGTGTTAAGCAAGCAAACTGTTTATACCGGGGCAGAGCAAGTAGGTCAAGCACGTGCAGCCAATGAGCTACTTTGTTTTGCCCGCGATATTTATTACGGCTTCTACTTTTAACATTATGTGCTTTGGCACCCTCATTGCCCCAATATGTCTCTGTCAAAAAAGAGAAAAGTGGACGCAGAGTGCAGAGTGTTCCAAGAAAAAATAGTCATCCTATTTAATCACGGAATTGAATGGGAAAGCAGTATGTTTGGTGTGTTCAGAGCATGTTGCAGTGCTGAAAGAATATAACCTTCGTCGCCACTATGTGAGTCTTCATGCCGACAAATATGACAACTTTCAAGGACAGCGGAGATGAGATAAGGTGAATGAACTGTTGGCGGGTCTGAAGAAACAGCAGTCTGTGTTTACTCACAGCCGAGACATCAGTGACGCTGCATTGAAAGCTAGCTACCTCATTGCTAATGAAATCGCAGTGGCTTCAAAACCATTTAGTGAGGGTGAATTTGTAAAAACATGCATGATGATGGCAGCGGAGATTGTGTGCCCTGAAAAGCGGCAGGCTTTTGCAAATATCAGCCTGACAAGAAACACAGTTGCAGACAGGATTTCCGATCTTTCGGTGGATTTGGACAGCCAGTTGAAGCAAAAAGTAAAGTCATTTATTGCGTTTTCGGTTGCAATTGATGAAAGCACGGACATTACAGATGTTGCACAACTGGCCATTTTTTCATCCGCGGAGTTGATGACACATTGACCGTCACCGAGGAGTTCGTGGAGTTGGTGCCGATGACAGATACAACGAGAGCAGCTGATATTTTTACCGCACTCGTCGGCGCGCTGGACAGGGTCGGAGTGGACTGGTCCCGCGCTGTCAGCCTGGCTACAGATGGTGCGCCCTCAATGATCGGGAAAAAAGCAGGCGTTGTGACAAAATTCAGAGAGAAAGTGCAATCTGCAAATGGAGGACGTGATTTTTTGACTTTTCACTGTATTTTGCACCAGGAGGCTTTGTGTTGCAAGTCTTTAAAGATGGATAACGTCATGAAGGTGGTCATCCAAACTGTTAATTTCACCCGATCCAGAAGCCTGAATCACCGTCAGTTTGACAGCCTTCTCAGAGAGAAAGACCACATCTATGGCCTGCCATACCACACTGAGGTAAGATGGTTAAGCCGAGGTGCTGTGCTGAGGCGTTTCTTTGATTTACGAGAAGAAATTGAACAGTTCATGGAAGAAAAGGGCAAACCAGTGTTAGAATTTCATTCTGCAGAATGGATGCCGGACCTTGCATTTATGGTGGATGTTACAGAGCACCTGAATAACTTGAACAAACAGCTGCAAGGGCGCAACAAAGTTGTCACGCAGTATTATGACAGCATACGTTCTTTCAAGTTGAAGCTGTCATTGTGGGAGACGCAACTTGCCGGTGGTGATGCAGCTCACTTCCCTTGTCTGAAAAATGTGTGCGCGACCCAACATGTGGCAGACATGAAGCTGTTCAAAGATAAAATAACGGGACTGTTACGGGAGTTTGAGCAACGCTTTCAGATTGATGTTTATATGTTTTTATGTTGATGTGCTATTGTTTTTAATTGATTTTATTTTATTTGTATATTTAACCTATTCTTGACTCTGTGGTTCTTGCACTTGTTTGGGGAACAGGATTTCATTATTTTTATCTACATTTCTGCCTGAGAAATGACACCCTGATATAGTTCTGTGATCTGTGAAACAGTTATGTTAATCACTGAGGCATTGTGTGTTTGTGTGTTCTTTTTCGTTAGAATTTTCAAATAAACTTGACGTGTTTTATGATTAATAGTGATGTTGTGCTTGTACTATTTTGGACACACTGTCCTCAGGCTCCAGCTTTATGTTGTATGTTGATCGTATTAAAACAAAGAAAACAATCTGAAGTTGTTGTTTTTAAGTTATATATACCATGATTTTTCCGGTCCGGCCCACTTGGGAATAGATTTTCCTCCATGTGGCCCCTGAGCTAAAATGAGTTTGACACCCCTGGTTTATATTGATCTGTTTTTCAGTGTCAGCAGAGTAGTCTACCCTGTAATTTTAGTAGTCCCGTACCGGTATGAAATTAAATCTACTTTCACCCCTGGATGAAAACACATTTTCTCTTGTCTGTCTGCAGCAGACATACACTAAGTGTACAAAACATTGAGTTGCACCCCCTTTTGTCCTCAGAACAGGCTCAATTCGTCGTGGACTCTACACGGTGTCGAAAGCGTTCCACAGGGATGCTAGCCCATGTTGACTTCAATGCTTCCCACAGTTGTCAAGTTGGCTGGATGTCCTTTGGGTGGTGGACCATTCTTGATACACACGGGAAACTGTTGAGCATGAAAAACCCAGCAGCGCCTGGCACCTACTAGCATACCCAGTTCAAAGGCACTTAAAACTTTTGTCTTGCCCATTCATCCTCTGAATGGCACACATACACAATCCATTTCTCAATTGTCTCAAGGCTTAAATCCTTATTTAACCTGTCTCCTCCCCTTCATCTACACTGATTTGAAGTGGATTTAACAAGTGACATCAATAAGGGATCATAGCTTTCACCTGGATTCACCTGGTCAGTCTGCCATGGAAAGAGCAGGTGTTCATAATGTTTTGTACACTTAGTGTATAGTGAGCAATATGTTTGGAACATCAAATTACAATAAAATCACAGTATGGCATCGCAATACATATCGTATCGTGAGGTCACTGGCAATTCCCAGCCCTAGAATCAGCTGTGTTTTTGTAGAATACACCTGAAACTGAGAGCACTTGGCATCTGTGGTCTGAATGGTAGAACAGAAACACATCCCTCTGTCTCACTTTGACTTTACTTACTCTTTTTTTACTCTTTCTAATTGTCTCTCTGTCTCTCTCTCTCTCTCTCTCTCTCTCTCTCTCTCTCTCTCTCTCTCTCTCTCCACAGAGCGTATTCTGAGCCCCATGTCTCTTCTCTGGAAGCCCTAGCACCAGTGTCCCTCTCCTGTTGGTGGTGGCTTCACTTGTTGGAGCATGTCGGCAGCGCAGACTCAGAAGGACAGTGAGGGTCCCTGGGGACTGGACTCCCTGGGCCTGAGCCAGAGAGAGTTGGTAATGGCTGAAGCTCTACAGATGGAGTATGATGCCCTGTCCAGACTCAAACAGGACAAGGGGGGGGACAGCCAGGGGACCAGCAGCCAGGGGATTGGGAAGTTACCTACGCTACCCCCTAGGGAGGGCCAGAGCCAGATCGATCGCCACCTCCCACCCTGCCCCAGCCCTATTCCTCCAGGAGGGAGTTTGCTAAGAGGGCTGTCTGGTTCGGACCCATCCCTCAACCACCTCCAGCCTGGGGGGTCCCACTCCCCACGGCCCTCCCCAGCCAGGGCCACTCCTCCTCTGGGAAGTTACAGCAAGGATCCCCTCTATATCCTGGAGAGTTCAGGGAAGGGGGACTACCTGAACTCCAGCTATGGGCACTCAGGGTCTAGCTATGGTTCTCCTCTGACTCTGCCTAAAGGCTTCCCCCCTCCTCCGGATGACCCACCTCCTGCTGTACCCCCAAGGACCCCTCTCCCCCCCTCCTCTGAGCCCTTCCTGCCCCTCCGACCCACTATGGCGCCCCGGGATGTCAACCTGTTCACCCCCGAGGTAGACCAGCCCAAACTGTCGTCAGGGGAGACGCTCAACTACGAGAGCCTCAACGACGCCCTATCCAAGCTCAATGGGGATTGGCTGGCGCCAAGGGGTAGGCGGGCCAACGGGGACCAATCAGGGAAGCCGGTGGCTCGGAGTAAGACCCTCCCCCCTCAGGTGCCCCCCCGCACCTACGTACCTATCCATAAGAGCAACAAGAACCAGCGCAGAGTGTCGGCCGACCCGGTAACTACTCACCCTATGACAGATTCATTACGTGACTTTGCATGACATAGCATTAATTCACATCTAGCGTTGTTACCTCACACCCTCATTCCATGTTTCCATAGTCAAACCTAGACACAAATAAACAATCCTTGTAATGTCTAGGCTTGTCTCCAGCTTACTCCAGTCAAGTCAGTCTATTCCAACGCAGTCCAGCTGTGTTTCGTTTCGTTGAGTTCCTTGACTGAATGCTCTGTTACATTCAGTTCTGTGCTGATCCTTCTTGTGTCTTTGTGTGTGATTGGCAGGTGTCTCTGGGCCCCAGGCTCAATGGTTTTGGCTATGAGCTCTTCCAGGTGTCAGAGGAGAGAGATGAGGAGGTGGCCGCCTTCTGTCACATGCTCGACGTGTAAGTGTACGGCCCAATCCCAAATCAACCCCTAAGCCAAACACCCTATGCACTTGTGGAGATCTGAGAGGTTTAGGGGTTGATTTGTGATTGGGCCCAAATGTTACCCTCTCACCCTCAGTCAGGCTGTTTAGAACCATTCCTGTGCTGTGGTTTTGTTGTGGTTGTATTGTGGTCAGGCTGACTATAAGCAGTTATAACCATAACTGTGTGTTGTGGTCAATTCACGGTCAGCTATGTATTAACTTTTAATAACCATCGCTGTGTGGTGGTTGTGTTGTTTTCAGGTTGCGGTCGGCGTATCCAAGCAGCGACCGCTCTAAGAACTCTGGGTTTGTGTGGTCGCCTTCAGTGGGGCCTGAAGAGCTGCAACAGGGGTTAGGGGTCAGCGTCAAAGTTACTGTCATCAGCGACCACGTCAGAGAACCACTCACCTTCACCTGTGATGGTAAGACACGCACGCTCGCACTCTCTCTCACTCACACACACACACACTCACACACCCCGCAGGTTCATTAGGGGCGGCAGGTAGCTTAGTGGTTAAGAGCGTTGTGCCAGTAACCGAAAGTTCGCCAAGCCGACTAGGTGAAAAATCTGTCGATGTGCCCTTGAGCAAGGCACTTAACCCTAATTGCTCCTGTAAGTCGCTCTGGATAAGAGCGTCTGCTAAATGACTAAAATGTAAAATGTAATTAGCACAGAGATCACTCACCCTTATTTTCAAACACACATCCTCAGCGAATGTCATGTCTGCTTCACTCAGTCCTATCCTGGCCACTGTGGTTTTCCAATGGGAATGTTTTGTACAGTATCAGGAATAAGGGAAAGCATGTGGTTGGAGTTTCCTTAATGAATTACACTGACCGGATCCCAGCCAACCAACTGTCTCATCTGGCCTCTCAATAAAACATGACTGACTCTCATTCATCTGTCTAAGAGAAAGGGGAAAAAGAGGGGGAGTTGAAGAGAGGGAGATTTAAGGGAAGGGGGAGGAGAGAACGCTTTGGAAACATCACTGTTCATGCCATGAAGGTCTCCTCTCTTTCTGCCCATCTTTCTCGCTCTCTGTTTCTCTCTCTACCTCACCCTCTCTCCCTTAGTGTGTGTGAGACTATGCTGTGGGTACAGTCAGGGCAGGTCATGACTCATAATGGCGGCAGAGAGTATGTTTGCTCTCACTCAGAGAGATCGAACTGGCCAAGTAAACAGTCAGAGATGTGAGGTATCTCTCTCTCTCTCTCTCTCTCTCTCTCTGTCTCTCTCTCTCTCTCTCTGTCTCTGTCTCAAAGTGGTTGTTTCCCTCGTATTCATTCTGTAAGATTATTTGAGAAAAACTACAGCAATCAACAACACAGCAGTCAGTCAGTCTGAATCCTTTCTTCCAGTACATCTGTCCCTGTGGCTGATCACTCTTCCTGTCAATAGAATAGTTGGGTCGGTGTACACTGACTCAGGCCAGAGAGGTTGAATCAAAGAACACCCACACACTCTCCACCTATCTCTCTATCACTGTACTCTTCGGTCTACACACTCTCTCTTTCTCTGTTTGTGTTACTGTAATGTACTGTCATTTAAGTTTTATTCCCTACATCTCTCTCTCGCTCGAAGGGTCATCCACGGTAGACTTGTTGATCTACCAGACGTTGTGTTATGCTAATGAAGACCTGGACCACATCGATGTCGACCACTACCTGCTCAAAGTCTGCGGTCAAGCTGAGTTCCTAGAAAAGTAAGGACAACTTCTCTTGTCCCTTTCTCACCTCAACTTCTTCTCCCTCTCTCCTCTGTATCCCCACTCCTCTCGCCCATCTGTCTACAATATGTGTGATTACTGGAAGAGGCAGTTGGGATTTGGCTTTTGAGTGTTTTTAAAGGGATACTTCGGGATTTTGGCAATGAGGCCCTTTATCAAGTCCAATGTACTCGTGGATACCACTTTTATTAGCATGGGCTCGTGAAACTACCTCTAACTTCCTTCATAATGAACACAGAGACATAGAAATGGTATCCACGAGTTCATCTGTCTCTGGGGAAGTAGATAAAGGGCCTCATTGCCAAAATTCCGACATATCCCTTTAAGTTCCTTCACTGATGGATGAGCTCCACACGTACACATGCCCTGTCAGTCCACACTCTGTTGGCATCGTTACACTATGCTCCTTCCCCTCTTTCTCTCCTCTCACGCCGTCCCTCTCTTTCCCTTCTTCCCTGCCCATCCCCCTCTCTCTCCGGGCTCCATGCCCACCCCATTGTGGATGGGTGCCAGGGGGCAGTCTGCCCAGTAGAGCTCACCCTGGCTGGGCTGCGGCAGAGATGGTGCCCCTCTGTCCCCCGCTCCTCCATGGAACAGGCCAAGCACAGGGTGGAATGAGTAGAGGAGAGCCAACTAATCATAACACATCACCAGCCATGTTAGTTGGGCCCAGAGGGTGGGACTGCGATGTAGAGAGCACATGCACACACACACACACACACACACACACACACACATGCATGTGAATACACAAACAGCTGTTCTGTAAGGCCGAGAGCCAGATAAATTCCCCTCAGATAAACTGAGGAGACCCTTGGCTTTACACTCATAATCTCAGCCCTATGTTTCTGTGTGTGTGTGTTTTTGGTTTTACTATCCTTGTGGGGACATTTTGCCAGTCCCCACAAGGAAAAAGGTTATTTTAGGCTTAGGGGTTAGGGTTAGGGTTACAATTAGGGTTAGGGTTACAATTAGGGGTTAGGTTAAGGGTTAGGGATTAGGAAAAATAGGATTTTGAATGGGAATCAATTGTTTGGTCCCTACAAGGATAGTAAAACAAACGTGTGTGTGTGAGAGGCCCAGGCTATAGGAATGTGTTTAGGCTTTATTGAGATTGACAGGGCAGTGCGTTGGGGGTAGACTGAGGGAGAGAGAGAGCTGGAGTGTGTGTGTGGTTTGTGGTCCAGATATACACACTCATATAACTGAAGGCCTCAATTATGGCCGTTTTGAACAAGCTCTGCTGATGTCTGAGGGTCAACCTAAACCTCAGGGGATTTCCCCACCCAGTAAAAACAGTCTCTTCTATACACACACACACACACTCACACACCACACGCACCCTGACACACACACACTCCCTCCCACTCCTCTCTAAAGTCTTCCTCTAAAGAGAAACAACCAGCTATTGTTTAAATGTGTTTTACAGCAAGCTCCATTCCGGTCCAGTGCAGCTGAGCATATGTGTGTGTGTGTGTGCGTGTATGTCTGTCTTTCCATTTGTTTTTATTTTCCTTGTGGTAAGGGTAGGTAACAACACATCTGCCACGCTGATCCTCAACATAGGGGCCCCTCAGGGGTGCGTGCTTAGTCCCCTCCTGTACTTCCTGTTCACCCATGACTGCATGGCCAGGCACAACTCCAACACCATCATTAAGTTTGCCGACGACACAACAGTGGTAGGGCTGATCACCGACAACGATGAGACAGCCTATAGGGAGGAGGTCAGAGACCTGGCCGTGTGGTGCCAGGATAACAACCTCTCCCTCAACGTGATCAAGACAAAGGAGATGATTGTGGACTACAGGGGAAAAAAAGAGGACTGAGCACGCCCCCATTCTCATCGACGGGGCTGTAGTGGAACAGGTTGAGAGCTTCAAGTTCCTTGGTGTCCACATCACCAACAAACTATCATGGTCCAAACACACCAAGACAGTCGTGAAGAGGGCACGACAAAGCCTATTCCCCCTCAGGAGACTGAAAAGATTTGGCATGGGACCTCAGATCCTCAAAAAGTTATACAGCTGCACCATCGAGAGCATCCTAACTGGTTGCATCACCGCCTGGTATGGCAACTAGTCGGCCTCTGACCGCAAGGCACCGCAAGGCACTACAGGGGGTAGTGCGTATGGCCCAGTACATCACTGGGGCCAAGCTTCCTGCCATCCAGGACCTGTATACCAGGCGGTGTCAGAGGAAGGCCCTAAAAATTGTCAAAGACTCCAGCCACCCTAGTCATAGACTGTTCTCTCTGCTACCGCACGGCAAGCAGTACCGGAGCGCCAAGTCTAGGTCCAACAGGCTTCTCAACAGCTTCTACCCCTAAGCCATAAGACTCCTGAACAGCTAATCATGGCTACCTGGACTATTTGCACTGCCCCCCCCCCCCCCCACCCCATCCCCCTCTTTTACGCTGCTGCAACTCTGTTTATTATTTATGCATAGTCACTTTAACTCTACCCACATGTACATATTACCTCAATTACCTCGACTAGCCGGTGCCCTCACACATTGACTCTGTACCGGTACCCCCTGTATATAGCCTCCCTACTGTTCTTTTATTTTAATGCTGCGCTTTAGTTATTTGCTTTTATTTTTTTACTTAACTCTTTTTTTATTTTACTTTTTATTTAAAAAAACTGCATTGTTGTTTAAGGGCTTGTAAGTAAGCATTTCACTGTAATGTCTACACCTGTTGTATTCGGCACATGTAGCAAATAAAATGTGATTTGAATTGATCATGTAAGTGTGTGTGTGTGTGCGCGTGCAGGGACATGGCTGAGCAGCAGCAGGAAGTGTGTTTCCCCTGATAACCTGCAGCTGGAAAAATAGGTTAGGACTTCCTCTGGGTGAGGTTTTTTTAAACCCGGTTTCATTCCGGGGGCTGACAGAGCGAGACCGGAAGGGGGGGGAGAATCACACCCCTTTTTTTGAAAATTTAGACCAGACCCTGCTTCACTTTTTCCTTGTAAGCCCCCCTTAAGTTCAAAAAAATTTTTTAATTTGGGAAAGGGGCCCCAGGAAAACTATCTTAATTTTATCCATCTCACATAGCGGGGGGGTTTAAGGGGCCCCCCCTTTTTTTTTTTCCCCCCCCCCCGGGGCCCCCCCCCCCCCCCCCGGGGGGGTTTTCCCTTTCCCCCCCCCCCCCAAAAAAAAAAAACCCCCCCCCCCCCCCCCCCCCCAAAAAAAAAAAACCCCCCCCCCCCCCCCCCCCCCCCCCCCCCCCCTTTTTTTTTCTCTCTCTCCTTCTTTTCTCTCTCTTCCCTCTCTCCCCCCCCCCCCGTCTCTCTCTTCTCTCTCCCTCTCTCTCTCTCTTCTCTCTCTCCTCTCTCTTCCCCTTTTTCCCAGACGTTGGCAGAGTTGGAGTATATCCAGCTGTGTCTGAAGTTTGACTGGGACATCCGTCTCTTCCTTACCAAGAGAGGCTCTGTCAACACAGAACTGGGTCGCACGGTGTGCACACGCATGCACACACACACAGCACACAGGCACACAACACGCTTGCACACGACACACAGACAATCGTACACACACACTCATTGTGTCGTTATGTTGTGATTGACAGGAAGATGATGATGACACGGCCTCTACGATGAACCACGGCATCCTGCTGCAGGAACGACCAATCAGACAGACCGTTACTAGGTGAGGGGGAGGGGCCTAGATCTCACACACCACTAATTACATTAAAAAGCAATTAAAGGCCTTAAGCTGGGACTTTGATATCCTTGATAGTAGCTAGGTTTCCATCCAATTGGCGACAGATTTTCATGCGAATATTCTAAAATCCGCTAAATGTGCATTTTCCCACCAGAAATGTCTTTCCATCAAATTGACTTGTTGCGAATAAAAGGATGTGCATGATGATGTAATGCACATAAAAATAACATTTTAATGGGAGAACCACACGTCATAGCGTGACTCCAAGCTTTCTTCGATGTGATGGTTATTATATCAATATTTGCGCATATTAAGGGGTTTCCAGCGCCATTTCTTTGCCTAATAAATATTTTACAGACACAAAAAGATCCCACCTTGTCTAGCGTATTTAGTTTTGTCGACATTTGGAACGTTTTTACCAACAAATTTGCTGTTTCCATCAGGCCTGTCATGAAAAACAAATTCCGACATGCACTCTACTCGCATACAAAGGTTGGATAGAAACGTGGTAAGTGTTGTTGATATTTACTTGTGTTTGAACAGAGAGGCTTTGACTCTGCTCCTGGATACGTTTCACAACGAGGCTGAGTCCTTTCTACTATCAGAGGTAACCTACTACACACACGCACGTAAATACACAAGCAGGCACAGACACACACAAACGCACATGCACGTACACACACACACACTGTCACACACACACACGAACGAAAGCAAACATGTTTGGCTCTTATTTTGAAAATGTATGTGTAAGGTTGAAATCACTCTGTTCTCCCTCCCCCCTCTGAAGGTGGAGCTTGTGTTGCATGTGGAACGGTTGGTCCAATCAGTGAAGGCTCTCTGCAGCTCACTGGCTGCCGTGGAAACGCCTGACATCACTTCTGCCCTCAACCAGCTCCCAGCATGCCCCTGTCGTCTGCAGCCTAGAGTCCAGAAGGTAAACACACACACACACATACTGCCACATTTCAGATAGAAATTACCTTTAGACACAGATCTAATTTAACCTTTAGACACAGAGAGTTAAAAAAACTAAACTGAGCTTAGATCAGGCATAACTTCATTACCCATACAGTATACTGTACTCCTGTAACTCCAGAACCAAGGTTAGTCAATTTGTTGAATGCATTCTGTAACTGTGTGTGTGTCTCTTCACAGGATCCATCAGTGCTGGCCATCAAAGAGAACAGAGGTAGGTTCTTCATGTCTTACTGTGCTACAACACAGAATAACACACAGACAGATACTGTAGGGTAGGGGATGATAGACAGGACAGACAGAGGGGAAGGGGAGAAAGAAGACAGAGAGAGGATGGGAAAGAGAAGAGGAAGGGGGAGGAAAGAAGAGGAGAGATGATATGATACTGTAGATGGAGGGGAGGGTCGCCGGGTTATATGCTCGTGGGATGATGGTCAGGTCTGTACAGTAGTGTAACAGAATTAAAGGGATAGTTCACCCAAATTACAAAATGACACATTGGTTTCCTTACCCTGTAAGCAGTCTATGGACAAGGTATGACAGCAATCCATGCTTCGGTTAAGTTTCATTGGCACTGTTTGCACATGCTAATGTTGTAAGTCATGGGACCGATATTAGCATTTCTCATGTCCAAATAACCCGAAAGTATCTAAAATTGATTGTGAAGCTCAACAAATTCCCTTCTAGATGTTTTGAACATGATGCTTGAAAAATGATAATATCGGTTCCTTGACTTGAATGGGATTTGTGCCACGAATTCTAAAACGTTAGCATGTGGAAACAGTGCCAGGGAAACTAAACCAAAGCATGGATGGCTGTCATACCTTGTCCATACACTGATTATAGGGTAAGGAAACCAATATGTCATTTAGTAATTTGGGTGAACTATCCCTTTAAGATCGTACCTTAAGCTCACTCCACACCTTGAAATGTCTCCACTCGGGTCACCGAATTACTAGCTTTTCAGCAGCGCAAGCACTTTGTCAAGCGGGCGGTCAGGTGTGTTTGCGTGGCATAGGAACCTGGTTCGAGCCATTGTACGGACAGTGTACCCAGATGGGGAGGAAGCTACACTGCTAAGCAGGCACACTGGTCTGTCACAGTAGCACTACCTCATGTCAGAGCGGAAGTGTCCTTGACTTGCTGTGATGTACGCCACGGATGTCCCTCTTTACCGATGTCTCTGGCTGGGTCCCAAATGGCACCCCATGTCCTTTATATTGCACTACAGAGCAGGGCCCATTGTGCTCTGGTCAAAAGTAATGCACTATATAGGGAATAGGGTGCCATTTGAGACATATCCCCTACCTCCCCCAGCTATACTCAGACAAACAGGAAGGATGGCTAACTTCATACAGGATACACAGATACACTAACCACTTCCTCCATCCATCCGCATCTCTATCCGTCTGTCTGCCCTTATAAAGAAAGGGATAACATTTCCGAGAGGTTGGATGTTGTTTTCCCTATAGGGCTGAGCTGCTCCACTGGATGTATGAAGAGACACATGTAAATAGTGGAGCCCAGCCAATTGAGCCGTGTTGACATGTCTGTATCCCAAATGGCATCCTACTCCGTACACAGTGCACTACTTTTGAGCAGGGCCCATATTCCCTACATAGTGCACTACTTTTGACCAGAGCCCTATGAATGATGGAATGATGACAGGAACTAATGTTTGACTCTCTGGTAGTGTACAAACACAAGGTTATGAAGAGGTTAAACACACACTGTATGAGAGTTCAAAGGGTCAGTGTAGGAGTAATGAGCTCACAATGATTAGCAGTAAGGTGATAAGATGGCAAACTCTTAGAGCATGGACTTAGTGTGGTGTTGGTTTTGTGTATTGCTCTGACTCTACTCGTGGATAACGAGTAATACTGACAGACAGCTGTTGTGAATCAGGAGAGTTCTTTAGCACTGGATCTTTAAAACATGCTAAATTCTGCACATGGATTGTTACTAACATTTATTATTTAAGGTTTTACTTTTAAAGCTTGTGTTAAGTTGTTGTTTAGCCCTCTTTAATTGAATGCACTTAGAGAGTATCTGCTAAATGAAGGCTATGTGAATCTAAATGGTTTACTTCCACCTTGCAGAGAAAGTGGTGGAGAAGCTGACGGCAGCCATTTTGGATCTGGTGGAGCTGTACTGTAGCACGTTCAACGCTAACTTCCACACCACGGTGCAGAGCAACCGGCACACGGCGCCCACACAGGAAGCAGGCCTGGTCACCAACGTCCTGTCCTTCAGCGTCTACGCTGCTCATCGCATCCCCATCACATGGGCTGCCAGGTAACATACATAAACTCAGGCACGCACATACGCACGTAACCACACACACACACACCAGTAATATAAAGTACTTAAGTACACATATTTTAAAGTACTACTGAAGTTGTTTTTGTGGGTATCTGTACTTTACTATTAATATTTGTGACTACTTTTACTTCAATACATTCCTAAAGAAAATAATGTACTTTTTACTCCATACATTTTCCCTGACACCCAAAAGTACTCGTTACATTTTGAATGCTTAGCAGGACAGGAAAATGGTCCATTCACACACTTATCAAGAGGACATCCTTGGTGGCCTCCCGAGTGGCGCAGCGGTCTAAGGCACTGCATCGCCGTGCTTGAGGCGTCACTACAGACCCAGGTTCGATCCTGGGTCTGTAGTCACAACTGCCGGTGACCGGGAGTCCCATAGGGCGGTGCACAATTGGCCCAGCGTTGTCCGGGTTAGGGGAGGGTTTGGCCGGGGGGGCATTACTTGGCTCATCGCACTCTAGCGACTCCTTGTGGTGGGCCGGGCACCTGCAGGCTGACTTCGGTCGTCAGTTGAACGGTGTTTCCTCCGACACATTGTTGCAGCTGGCTTCCGGGTTAAGCTGGCAGGTGTTATGGTGGGTCATATTTCAGAGGACGCATGACTCGACCTTCGCCTCTCCCATCGGGTTTGCTTAATATAAGGAATTTGAAATGATTTATACTTTTACTTTTACTTTTGATACTGAAGTATATTTTAGCAACTACATTTACTTTTAATACTTAAGTGTATTTAAATACTTTTAGACATTTACTTAAGTAGTATTTTACTCTGTGACTTTTACTTCAATAATTTTCTATTAAGGTATCTTTACTTTTACTCAAGTATGACAATTGTGTACTTTTTCCACCACTGACACACACACACACAGAGGGCCAGCTGTTCAGGCTGGATTTCCCCAGTATAATCCATGAGGATTACATGGTGTTATGGAGCATAGCAGCATACACAGAGAATCCTGAGAAACAGCCTCATCTGCCCCCCCTTTTCCTCCCCCTCCCCTTTACCCTTCTCCCCATTTTCACTTCCCTATCCTCACTTCCCTCCCCTACTCCGTTTTCCCTCCTTTTTCCCATGCCATCACTCCCTCTATATTGGCCTGAGTGTATGCAGCTCAGCCCTCCCCCTGAATCTCCATTCATATGTCTTCTCTCAGTAACGGCTCTTTCCTCCCCTCTCTTCTCCCCTGGCACAGCTCCATAACCAGGGCCAGATGCACTGCGATCTCACCATTCCCATACATTCTATCCCATGCATTCTATATACTTGTCCTACCCATTCCCCCATCTTCACCCTACAGCCTTATTGCCTCTACCACTCTCTCTACCCCTACACTTTCCCCTGTTCCCACTGCTGTGTATTGGAATGGCCCTCCCACTCCCTCACCCCCTTCCAATCATGTGAATGGTCCAGTGCTCCACCCCCCAGTTGGCTGGCTCCTTTGTCTCCCCTGAAACTTATGCTGGCACGTGATTGGTTCCTGACAAAGGGTGATTGACAGCCTGGGAACTCTGCCTGACCTCTGACCCGAGGGGTGGGGCCGAGCGCTGACTGGTTGCTAGGCACCTGTCCGGCGGTGTGTGTGTGTGTGTGTGTGTGTGTGTGTGTGTGTGTGTGTGTGTGTGTGTGTAAGAAAGACACTGAAGGTGTGTGCAGGAAAAACAGATAAATTGATACCAAAATATCTGATGATCTCCCACACGAGGTTGATATCATCTGCATTGAGATGATTTTCAGATAGGGATTTAACTAGCAATAGCACTATTTTACTGTAAGACAAATAACATGGTAACATTATTACCCAATGTTGTTACCCTTTAATTACTATTCAGTCTGTTGGGGATTAATTGAAATAAGTACATCAAAATAATAATCAGTCTGAACATCTCAACGTTAGTTTGGAGTTGACAGCTTTTTTTTTAAAATTACCATTCTAGCCTATGGCCCTTTTGTGCCATTGAAATGCATTGGTATCCATAGCAATGGCTCCATTTGGGCTGTTCAATGACAAGACCTGAGAGAGCTGGAAGCTGGCATTAGCTATCTACTTTTCGTCAGTCTGAACACCGACAAACAGCTGTAACTTGATTGGTAGCAGATAATTCTGTTCTGGTTCTAGATTTGAATAGCAGAGAAGTAGACCAAGATGTCATACCCTCTAAATTATTGTCTAACTTGTTGGGAAAGTGGTCAAAGTAGCTGATTTGTGTAAAAAATGGCATTGTTGCATTCACAGTGAATGGAATATTGGAAGTCATGATGTCACAATGGAAGCTTTAGTATGTTGAAGAAATCCCATGAAAGTGGATGAAGTTTAATAAGTTTAATAAAAGTTTTATAGTTTAAAAAGTGTATATAGTAACAAAAAGTTGTATGCAAGCACACTATTCAAATCAAATCAAATCAAATGTTATTGGCCATATGCGCCGAATACAACAGGTGCAGACATTACAGTGAAATGCTTACTTACAGCCCTTAACCAACAGTGCATTTATTTTTAATAAAAAAGTACAATAAAACAACAACAAAAAAGTGTTGAGAAAAAAAGAGCAGAAGTAAAATAAAATAACAGTAGGGAGGCTATATATACAGGGGGGTACCGGTGCAGAGTCAATGTGTGGGGGCACCGGCTAGTTGAGGTAGTTGAAGTAATATGTACATGTGGGTAGAGTTAAAGTGACTATGCATAAATAATTAACAGAGTAGCAGCAGCGTAAAAAGATGGGGTGGGGGTGGGGGGGCAGTGCAAATAGTCCGGTTAGCCATGATTAGCTGTTCAGGAGTCTTATGGCTTGGGGGTAGAAGCTGTTGAGAAGTCTTTTGGACCTAGACTTGGACTTAGACTTGGACTTAGACTTGGCACTCCAGATCAGCCTGCAGGTTTTTAAGTTAGCTTAAACGGTGTAAGAGGAGTAGCGTTGTAAAGAATAATAACCTATAAGTCAGAAATAAGTGGTACAGTATTTAAAGTGTGGCTGCTTTCGCAAGCCACACTAATAATGTAGTAATATACAGTACCAATCAAAAGTTTGGACACACCTACTCATTCAAAGGATTTTCCGTATTTGTACTATTTTCTACATTGTATAATAATGGTGAAGACATAAAAACTATGAAATAACACATATGGAATCATGTAGTAACCAAAAAAGTGATAAACAAATCAAAATATATTTTATATTTGAGATTCTTCAAATAGCCACTCTTTGCCTTGATGACAGCTTTGCACACTCTTGGCATTCTCTCAACCAGGAATGTGTATTAAATATCACAGTTCCCCAACTGGCGGCCCGCGGGACAAATTTGGCCCGCGGGTGGTTTTATTTGGCCCCCCATGTTTTCATTGTTGGACATAAACATTTAAAAAAACACCAAGAAATCAGCTCCAAGTGATTTTATTTTGGGAAATCTGTTCCCAAGTATTTCCACATATAATAGAGAGATGTGATCATATACAAATGTAAGCAAGGTTTGAAATTATTATGTTTTAGTCAAATATTATATATGTTTGTAATTATGTTCCGGCCCCCCGACCATCCGCTCAAGAAAAAATCAGCCCGCGCCTGAATCTTGTTGATGAACCCTGTAATATATGAAATATGTCTCATATACACTGAGTGTACAAAATATTAAGAACACCTTCCTAATATTAAGTTGCACTCCCACTTTTGCTCTCAGAACAGCCTCAATTTGTCGGCGCATGGACAAGGTGTCAAAAGCGTTCCACAGGGATGCTGGCCCATGTTGACTCCAATGTTTCCCACAGTTGTGTCAAGTCGGCTGGATGTCCTTTGGGTGGTGGACCATTCTTGATACACACGGGAAACTGTTAAGTGTGAAAAACCCAACAGCGTTGCAGTTCTTGACACAAACCGGTGCTCTTGGCACCTACTACCATACCCTGTTCAAAGGCACTTCAATATTTTGCCTTGCCCATTCACCCTCTGAATGGCACACATACACAAATAAATATTTAACCTGTCTCCTCCCCTTCATCTACACTGATTGAAGTGGATTTAACAAGTGACATCAATAAGGGATCATAGCTTTCACCTGGATTCACCTGGTCAGTCTGCCATGGAAAGAGCATAATGTTCATAATGTTTTGTACACTCAGTGTATACTCTAACATACACTGATACACACTACACAACTGACACATACTCACAAGAGAACTCTGTTCATTTCCCACAGTCAGAAGACACTGATTGAATTGAACACAGTCCCATGAAGAAGTCTTGTCTTGTTTGTTTTGCATCATTTTACATGACTCCAACTTGGTCCTCAGTTACTTGTAATTATAGCATTTACATACATAGGCCAATGGGGTTTCATAATGACTATCATCTCCTCTGATCTCCTCTTCCTCTTCCTGTTAGCTACGAGGGCTTCTTCCTGTCATGCTCGCTGACCCATGGAGGGGCGGAGCTTTGTGCCCCGCAGCACACCAGCAAACAGCAGGTCAGCAAGTACCTGTTTCACCTGGTGGTCTGGGACCAGAGGTATGTACCCAAACACAGCCTGTTACCACGGGCCTTATAGACATTTTAACCAATCACAGCCAGGTACCTCAACCAACCTCACAGCCTATTACAACAGACCTTATAGACACCTCAACCAATCTCACAGAGATGTTCACCAATCAGAATCCATCTATCTATTACTTGTTGCTTAGGATTTATTAGTAATAATGATATTTGCTATCCACCCACAACATGTATTAATTACATACAAAGTGCACACTTCCAGAAGCAGGTTAGTGTTCCATCCATCACACTCTACTACCAGGTGTTCCATTTGTTCACTGTTTTCAGTTCTCATTAGGACTAACCTACTTTCCCCCATATGTGTCAACTGGAAAGAGCCATTGGTCGTGTGTGTGTGTGTGGTGTGTGTGCTTATTGAAGCAGATGTAAACTGTTTACAGTATGTTTTTATTTGTGGGTTGTAACTAATCTCCTTTAAAATAGATGTGAAGGTAGCTGTGCAGCAGCATCCTGGGGCTATTTTCTGATCTCTCCACCTCTACCTCATGTCCTTAAAGCATTGTCCTGGGGCTATTTTTGAAGACACTATTGCTGGGATCTTTTTTTTGCATCTATTGTAAGGATATTTTGAATCCTCTGGTATCTGGGTGGATTTAGTGTCCTGGTGGATTATCAACCCTGAGTAGACCTAGTGGTGCTGAAACCTCCAGATATGACAACAGCAGTGCAAAACCTTCACTCTAAAACACCACTTCCTGAGAAGATTGCTTGACAGTGTCCAGCTTGTTGGAGCTACTTGAGATAAGATGGAATAAACACGAATAGGCCATGTTTAGGGTTGCAAAATTCCGGGAACTTTCAATAAGTTCCCTGGTTTTCCCCAAATCCAACCAGGATTTCTGGAAAACCAGGGAATGTATTAAAAGTTTGTGGAATTTTGCAACCCTATCCATATTTAATTCTGTCCGGAGTGCTTTGGACAGGGAGTGCAGCGAGCTACATCTTTGTAAGGTAGCCTTCCTCAAACAGCACTTGGTTTGTTGGTTGTATAAAAGTCCTGAAAGTAAACTGTTTGGCTGGACATCTTATCTTGAGAGGCTTTTATGAGGCACCCGTCCATACTGTAGCCTACAGTCTGGCCGCATAACTGAACATGTTTTCTTAGTTAGCGAAGCATGCTAACAGAGCCCCCAATGGCAATGGTGTGTGTTTATAACGTTGCTATTTTTTGTTAGCCCGATGCTAGCTCCTTTCATGCTAACTAGTCTTTTGTGGATGACACAGGGCTAAATATAATAGATATATAATTTACTGTTTACCAACAGTTACAGTGCCACTCCCAGACTACTCTCTTGTAGGAAAATGTGTATTTACTTTATACTGCATTTCACAAGGACTCAAGTACAACTCTCTCTCTCTCTCAACCCCCCACCCTCTTTCCTTTTCTATTCCTCTCTGCCCCTTATATCCTTCTTTACCCTCTTCCTCTCCCATTGCATCTCTCCCTTCTTCCTCCCTCCCCCTGTCCCTCTCTCCCCCCCAGGGTGTGTTTCCCAGTGCAGATTAACCAGTTGCCAAGGGAGACCCAGCTGACGGTGACTCTATATGCCAGCGCTCTGCCACCCCCTGGAGGTGCGGAGGAGAAGGGCAGCAAGCAACGGCGGAGCATCGACTCCCTGGGCTGGGTCACCATGCCCCTCTTCAACTTCAGACAGTGAGTAGCAGTTCAGGAGGCTCTGTATGTCTGTGTGTGCGTGTCGGTGTGATGACTGTCATTCTGTGTGTCCCCCAGCATCCTGACGTGTGGGAGGAAGCTACTTGGTCTGTGGCCTTCCACCCCAGGAAGTAACGCTCGCTCCAGCTCCCCAAACTTCAGCCAGCCTGACAGCGTCATCCTGCAGGTAACTGGCCTATTCGTACACACGCTACACACACACGCTCACACACACACTCACTCACTCACTCACTCACTCACTCACTCACTCACTCACTCACTCACTCACTCACACACACACACACGCTCACACACATTCACATTCACACACACACACGCTCACACACATTCACATTCACACACACACACACACACGCAGTCACACACGCTCACACACACACACATCGCTCACAGATACACACGCTCACACATACACACGCTCACACACACACACACACACACACACACACACACACACACACACACAGTCACACACCCTCACACATACACATGCACACACACGCTCACCCACAGAAAGGCATACACACCTTTTCTCCTCCTCTTCCTTCCTTCCTCTCTTTCTCTTATCTGCGTCAGTTTGTTTTTCAAGGTGTAGTTCCCTATTTATTTCCTATTGTACTCCCAATCTCTTTCTTCTTCCTCTTCCTCTGCTCTCCTATCCCTCTCTCTTTCTCTCTCTCCACTCTGCTCTCTGTCCCTCTCTTTCTCTCTCCCTCTTTTATAGTTTACTGTACTGTATGGGGACTTAGAGAGGTTTTAGACTGACCTGCTGGAATAAAACATCTATCTTAGCTCCTGGTCCAAACAGCAATCTATAAAAGACATGCACACACACAGACACATTACAGGTACAATACTAGTCCTCCTGGGTGTGTAAAATCTGAACGTTTGATGTCTTTTTGGCCTGTTTTAGAGCTGTGGAGCAGGTATGATGTTAAGGGATTTTCAGGTGAACAAAAGAGAAGAGCATTCGCGGATATAATCAATCATAAATCAATCTGGTTTAATACAAGTTGCAACAGGGAGACACCTCCAGAACAGAAGCAGAGAAAATGTCTAACTTGGCCTTCGCCGAGAAGGCCCTTATATCCTAATTACACAGCATCAGGAAATAAAAACAACTTTGTCAGCTGCTACAGAATCACACAGTGTTCCACAGAATACACCAACAATCTGTCCTTGGTCTTTGGACCTCCAGTTGGCGTCAATCCCAGTAAACAGATATTAGTTTAACATACAGCGTCGAGTCTAGTGTCTATCAACCCGCACATCCAGAACACTGGAGATCATGTGTATTACAGAAAGGGAAAACTCCTAATCCCTGTCTGCATGTACCTATCTACCTCAGTTGAGAATAAAAATACTTTTCAATTCACTTAGAATTCATTTGTTGCCATTCTAGAGTTATGCATTTATTTAGAACTTGTATTTTTCAGAAACATAAAATACTGTCAAAAATGAGAAAAATATAGTGATATGATACAGTATTTTGACCATATCGCCCATCCCTGTGTAGTACACATACACACAGATGTGGACCTTAACGTTCACACAGAAGGACATGCGCACACACGCGTGCTGCTGCTGCCTGCAGAAGGGACCTGAAAGTAGGTCAGATAGCTCTGCTCTGGCCAAAACACTCACCCTTCATATTACACTCTCTATACCCTCCCTTTTGACACACATCCTCTTCTCTCTCTCTGTCACACACACACACACACACACACACACACACACAGTGTTTCCTCTCAGCAGTATTCTGGTGTAAACCCAGTCCCTCCTGCAGTGCCAACCCAGTGTGTCGCAGTGCCAACTGGCCCGTGGCGCTGGTGCCCAGTGGCTTTTTGTCTCATTGCAGTGGCCTGTGTTCAAATGAGATGTGTGTGTGTGTTGTTGCAATCAGTCTCCTCATTAGCGTGCTGACATCATTTGAGGCTTCATTCTTCATCACTGACTGCAGAACATGCTTATGCACATACACGAACATCGCATAAGACACATCTGGGGTCTGGCGCACATTAACCTCTCATGAATCTTGTATCTCCTGAGTGGCGCAGTGGTCTAAGGCACTGCATCGCAGTGCTAACTGTGCCACTAGATCCTGGTTCGAATCCAGGCTCTGTCGCAGCCGGCCGCGACCGGGAGACTCATGGGCGGCGCACAATTGGCCCAGCGTCGTCCAGTGTAGGGGAGGGAATGGCCGGCAGGGATGTAGCTCAGTTGATAGAGCATGGCGTTTGCAATGCCAGGGTTGTGGGTTCGATTCCCACGGGGGGCCAGTATAAAAAAATAAAAAAATAATAATAATATGTATTCACTAACTGTAAGTTGCTCTGGATAAGAGCGTCTGCTAAATGACTTAAATGTAAATGTAAATGTAAATGAACCCGAATGTAACCCCCTCACACACACTTCTGCACACCGTCTAACATTTCACGCTATCTGACTTGTTTTCTCCTTTTTTGTTTTTTTTACAGTCCTCTCTTCTTGAGTTTATCCATCTGTCTTTCTTCCTTCCTCCAAAACTCTTTCCCTCAGTGGCCTGCCATGACTTTCAGTCTCATGTTGATCTCTTGGCTTTCCATCTTTTTTTTTTTCTCTCCTTGGATGGATTCCTCACATCATTCTGTTCCTCTCCTCTCCCCCAATCTCTTCCATCTCTTCATCCACCATTACCTTGTCCATCTGCTCTGTAACAGTCTGGTCAGACGTCTATTTCTACTCAGCATACTCAGTGAGCGTCTTTTCCACGTGTTTATATCTGGTTTAGATTCAGCTGTAAGAGTTACAATGACTTAAATCAAACCATATCAATATTTATTCATTTGAAGTACATTTCCCTCATCACAACACTTCACGAAGAATCATAATGTTGTTGTTAGTGTGACCCCTAACCTCTGACCTCTGACCTTTAGGTGGACTTCCCCACGTCGTCGTTTGAGGTGCGCTTTAGTACCCCCCCTCCCGCAGAGTTCAGTCCCAAGTATGACTTCTCCAGACTGGACCAGCACAGCCAGAGACAACTGCAGGATGTACTACACAAGAAATCACTCTTCTGGTGAGAATACTACACTCACTCACTCCATGGAATGACAGAACAGCTCTGTTAGACTGACATACATTATTACCACATCATTATAACGTCACTGTTACACTGCATTAGAGAGTAGTGAGAGTTGTCACGTATCGTATGTTCTTGTGCTAGTGTTCAAACCCAACAGCTGTAGAAGTTATTGAGGGGTGTTTAATAGGTTAGTAGTAGCCTGATATCCAGAACCTGTTTTGCTAACATTCCACTTGATGTACTCCAGGTCATGCTAAACATGGAAAGGAGTGGAATGATATCTCAAACAGAATGGTAGCCAGGCTAGGTTAGTAGTGGACAGAACAGGAAGACAGACAGGAGATATATGGGCAGTGTGGTGCACTGGAAATGGTATTGGGGGGATGGGTGATGAGGGAAGAGGGGGTCCAGTTGATGAGTGATGTCATAGCAGCAGCTGGTGGTGAATCCTCCCCAGATGATATTATACCCCCCCCCCCCCCCTCCTCTCTCCCCCCTCTAGTCTCCCCATCCCCCTCTCCTCTCCTCTTTTGTCCCCTGTGTGTGTGTGTGCTGTTCTATAGTGTGTGTGTGTGTGTGTGTGTGTGTGTGTGTGTGTGTGTGTGAGCGCCATTTACAAAAGTGATGAAAAGGTTACTGAATATTAATCAGACCGATGATCTGAATTCCTAAGAGAGGTAGAAAGAAACGTTTGGGGAGCTCCACTGGCCTTCTCTAAGGAGTGTGTCAACAATGTTTATCTCAGTCCTCCCTGGATATATAGGATATGGTAGGGTGTGTGTCTGTCTTTGTTTGTGTGTGTGTTCTCGTGTGTGTCTATTCTCCATATCTCAGTGTAGTGTTTGGCCCATTAGTAGTTATAATAGTTTATGATCATGTCTCCTGTGTGTTGTGAGAGAGATAAATAGAACAGTGTTTATCTTGGACCAGAGTGAGTTTTGTTGTTTACTTCCAAGCAGGATACTTTTTCTGGGGCTTTGGAGCCTTTGAAGGATGGAAGGAAGGGAGATGTGCTGTTTTCTGTGGTGTGTGTGTTTGATGTTTTTCAGTCAATGCAAATAGTCCGGGTAGCCATTTGATTAGCTATTCAGCAGTCTTAAGACTTGGTGCTCTGGTACCGCTTGCCGTGCGGTAGCAGAGAGAACAGTCTATGACTAGGGTGGCTGGAGTCTTTGACAACTTTTAGGGCCTTCCTCTGACACCGCCTGTTATAGAGGTCCTGGATAGCAGGAAGCTTGGCCCCAGTGATGTACTGGGCCGTACGCACTACCCTCTGTAGTGCCTTGCGGTCGGAGGCCGAGCAGTTGCCATACCAGGCAGTGATGCAACCAGTCAGGATGCTCTCGATGGTGCAGCTGTAGAACTTTTTGAGGATCTGAGGACCCATGCCAAATCTTTTCAGTCTCCTGAGGGGGAATAAGCTTTATCGTGCCCTCTTCACGACTGTCTTGGTGTGTTTGGACCATGATAGTGTGTTGGTGATGTGGACACCAAGGAACTTGAAGCTCTCAACCTGCTCCACTACAGCCCTGTCGATGAGAATGGGGGCGTGCTCGGTCCTTATTTTCCTGTGGTCCACAATCATCCCCTTTGTCTTGATCACACGGCCAGTTCTCTGACCTCCCTATAGGCTGTCTCATCGTTGTCAGTGATCAGGCCTACCACTGTTGTGTCATCGGCAAACGTAATGATGGTGTTGGAGTCATGCCTGGCCATGCAGTCATGGGTGAATAGGGAGTACAGGAGGGGACTGAGCACGCACCCCTGAGGGGCCCCAGTGTTGAGGATCAGCGTGGCAGACGTGTTGTAACCTACCCTTACCACCTGGGGGCGGCCCGTCAGAAAGTCCAGGATCCAGTTGCAGAGGGAGGTGTTTATTCCCAGGGTCCTTAGCTTAGTGATGAGCTTTGAGGGCACTATGGTGTTGAACGCTGAGCTGTAGTCAATTAATAGCATTCTCACATAGGTGTTATTTTTGTCCAGGTGGGAAAGGGCAGTGTGGAGTGCAATAGAGTTTGCATCATCTGTATCTGTTGGAGTCGGTCTAGGGTTTCTGGGATAATGGTGTTGATGTGAGCCATGACCAGCCTTTTTCAAAGCACTTCACGGCTACAGACGTGAGTGCTACGGGTCTGTAGTCATTTAGGCAGGTTACGTTAGTGTTCTTGGGCACAGGGACTATGGTGGTCTGCTTGAAATATGTTGCTATTACAGACTCAGTCAGGGACAGGTTGAAAATGTCAGTGAAGGCACTTGCCAGTTGGTCAGCGCATGCTCTGTGTACACATCCTGGTAATCCGTCTGGCCCTGCGGCCTTGTGAATGTTGACCTGTTTAAAGGTCTTACTCACATCGTCTACAGAGAGTGTGATCACACAGTCATCTGGAACAGCTGATGCTCTCATGCATGCTTCAGTGTTGCTTGCCTCTACACGAGCATAGAAGTGATTTAGCTCGTCTGTTAGGCTTGTGTCACTGGGCAGCTCGCGGCTGTGCTTCCCTTCGTTGTCTGTAATAGTTTGCAAGCCCTGCCACATCCGACGAGCGTCGGAGACGGTATAGTACGATTCAATCTTAGTCCTGTATTGACGCTTTGCCTGTTTGATGGTTCGTCGGAGGGCATATCGGGATTTCTTATATGTGTCCTGGTTAGAGTCCCGCTCCTTAAAAGCGGCAGCTCTACCCTTTAGCTCAGTGCGGATTTTGCCTGTAATCCATGACTTCTGGTTGGGTATGTACATACGGTCACTGTGGGGATGACGTCATCGACGCACTTATTGATGAAGCCAGTGACTGATGTGGTGTACTCCTCAATGCCATCAGAAGAATCCTGGAACATATTCCAGTCTGTGCTAGTAAAACAATCCTGTAGCTTAGCATCTGCGTCATCTGACCACTTTTTTATTAACCGAGTACTGGTGCTTCCTGCTTTAGTTTTTGCTTGTAAGCAGGAATCAGGAGGATATAATTATGGTCAGATTTGCCAAATGGAGGGTGTGGGAGAGCTGACCATTAATGGTCAGGAAAAGTTTAATATTACATGACAACTACCATCAGATGAAGAAGAACAGATATATCAGTGTTGACAAATAATTATTTAAAGAACATTCTCTTAAGGTGCAGTGTTTCCAAACAAGTGTACTGGCTTCAGTGCCATCCAATATCAGGCTCCAAGCACGAAGTAGATTAGAGGCGCTCATCCAATAGCAACAACTGTTGTCCAGCTGGATCATCCTATCCCAACAATGACACAGTATATTCAGCCAATGGAAACAACCGTACCAACCGTTAACAGCCCTCTGCCATGTGTGTGTTTGCTAGAGCAGTTAGAGAAACATGTGTGTTGATTTAGGCAGAGATTCAAACAAACATGGATTAATGTGTGTGTGTGTGTGTGTGTGTGTGTGTGTGTGTGTGATGAGTATGAATGTGATCACTGACCTTTAGTTGTCAGTTGACATTTTCAGGTATCTCCACGAGAGACATCTACTGTTTATTCTCCCTTCTCCCAGTCAGTTTATCTTTCTTCCTCTCCCCTCTATCTACAGTTGAAGTCAGAAGTTTACATACACCTTAGCCAAATACATTTAAACTCAGTTTTTCACAATTCCTGACATTTATTCCTAGTAAAAATTACCTGTATTAGGTCAGTTAGGATCACCACTTTAGTGAAGTGTCAGAATAATAGTAGAGAGAATGATTTATTTCAGCTTTTATTTATTTCATCACATTCCCAGTGGGTCAGAAGTTTACATACACTCAATTAGTATTTGGTAGCATTGCCTTTACATTTTTTAACTTGGGTCAAACGTTTTGGGTAGCCTTCCACAAGCTTCCCACAATAAGTTGGGTGAATTTTGACCCATTCCTCCTGATAGAGCTGGAGTAACTGAGTCAGGTTTGTAGGCCTCCTTGCTCGCACACGCCTTTTCAGTTGTGCCCACACATTTTCTATAGGGCTTTGTGATGGCCACTCCAATACCTTGACTTTGTTGTCCTTAAGCCATTTTGCCACAACTTTGGAAGTATGTTTGGGGTCATTGTCCATTTGGAAGACCCATTTGCGACCAAGCTTTAACTTCTTGACTGATGTCTTGAGATGTTGCTTCAATATATCCACATAATTTTCCTTCCTCATGATGTCATCTATTTTGTGAAGTGCACCAGTCCCTCCTGCAGTAAAGCACCCCCACAGCATGATGCTGCCACCCCCGTGCTTCACGGTTGGGATGGTGTTCTTTGGCTTGCAACCCTACCCCTTTTTCCTCCAAACATAACGATGGTCATTATGGCCGAACAGTTCTATTTTTGTTTCATCAGACCAGATGACATTTCTCCAAAAAGTACGATCTTTGTCCCCATGTGCAGTTGCAAACCGTAGTCTGGCTTTTTAATGGCGGTTTTGGAGCAGTGGCTTCTTCCTTGCTGAGCGGCCTTTCAGGTTATGTCGATATAGGACTCGTTTTACTGTGGATATAGATAATTTTGTACCTGTTTCCTCCAGCATCTTCACAAGGTCATTTGCTGTTGTTCTGGGATTGATTTGCACTTTTCGCACCAAAGTACGGCTGCGTGGTCCCATGGTGTTTATACTTGCGTAATATTGTTTGTACGGATGAACGTGGTACCTTCAGGCATTTGGAAATTGCTCCCAAGGATGAACCAGACTTGTGGAGGTCTACAAAAAAAAAAATCAGAGGTCTTGGCTGATTTCTTTTGATTTTCCCATGATGTCAAGCAAAGAGGCACTGAGTTTGAAGGTAGGCCTTGAAATCCATCCACAGGCACACCTCCAATTGACTCAAATGATGTCAATTAGCCTATCAGAAGCTTCTAACGCCATGACATCATTTTCTGGAATTTTCCAAGCTGTTTAAAGGCACAGTCAACTTAGTGTATGTAAACTTCTGACCCACTGGAATTGTGATACAGTGAATTATACGTGAAATCATCTGTCTGTAAACAATTTTTGGAAAAATTACTTGTGTCATGCACAAAGTAGATGTCCTAACCGAGTTGCCAAAACTATAGTTTGTTAACATGAAATTTGTGGAGTAGTTGAAAAACGGGTTTTAATGACTCCACCCTAAGTGTATGTAAACTTCCAACTTCAACTGTATCTCTCCTCTAACCCTCTCTCCTTTACACACACGCTCCGATCACTCTCTTTCTGTCTTTGTTTCATGCCCGTTTCAAATTCAGCTCGATCGTTTTTTATTAGTGTAACCACGTTCGAGTGAGTGTGGCCAAAGCAAGGAGAAACAGAGTAATGCTATCATGAAGACAGAACAAAGACAGCATTGATAGGTGTTGGCCACATTTATACAAGGGTAATCTATCTATTTTTTACAGTGGAGAATGGCCATCTAATGCTGCAGTAAACGACACCTCTTTCTTTTCCTTTCATTGTGAGAAAGTATTCCAAGTATGCATTATTTCACTCTCTCTTCCCCTCTCTACCTTTTACCCTCTATACCGCTCCCCCTCTCCATATCCCCCTCTCTTTCTCCCACTCTCAAGCTAAATATGCATGTAAGGTATTGATATTAGCTTATATTTCTCCTCGCACTCTCCCCTGTGTCTCTCCAGGTTGACTCCAGAGGACAAGCGTCTGTTGTGGGAGAAGCGTTCGTTCTGCCAGTCAGAGAGTGGTGCCCTGCCCCTGGTGCTGGCTAGTGCCCCCCGCTGGGAGTGGGCATGTCTGTCAGACATTTACGCCCTGCTCCGCCAGTGGGCATGTCTCAACCACCACGACGCACTGGGCCTCCTGCATGCCACGTAAGGGGACTGTGTGTGTGTGTGTGTGTGTGCGTGTGCGTGCGTGCGTGTGTGTGGTTGCCAGGCAATGGTTTCTGGGGCAACACTCGCCAGGGAAATAGCCACCTTGGCAAAAGTCAGCAGGCAACTGTCACCAGAAGACCTGCGGTCGCCATTCGACCTTGTCATGTTGTGTTAGGACTGGAGGTGTTAGTGTGAACAACAGACATGCTGGCAGTTTGGGGTCATGGTCAGAGACAAGAGTGGACCAGACAGGCTTAGAATCCTGTTCTGGAACATAAACACCATGAACTCACCTCAGCAGGGCAACATGCAAGGCATCACATGCATCACTCGCCTTTTAGAATTACAGTTCAATGATTAATGAGGATAAGTCCATGCATTTGTTTGACCTCTCAAATATGTCGGCATTCTGGATTGAAACGATGTAATAATTGAATGCATAATGTATTCAAATGTGTGTGTCAGCTTCCCTGATCAGGAGCTGAGGCGTACTGCAGTACAGTGGATGGACTCCATCTCTGACCCTGAGCTGTTGGACTTCTTGCCACAGCTTGTGCAGGTAACACCTTATAAATGCTTTGTGAATGTCTTATGAACACTTCACAAACACCTTATCAAAGGGCTATGTGGAGCTATTTCCATATTTCTTACACCTATCCGATGCATCTTTCTCTAACCATCTCTCTCGCTTTCTCTCAGGCTCTGAAATATGAGTGTTACCTGGACAGCCCGTTGGTGCGTTTCCTGCTACGGAGAGCCATAGGGGACATGCGCATTGCACACTACCTCTTCTGGTGAGACCTATTCAGATATCAGCCATACACTCAGCCTTCTCTGTCACACACAACTTGATATAGACACAGACATACACAAATGCATACATAACACATGCAGTGCCTTCAGAAAGTATTCACACCACTTGACTTTTTCCACATTTTGTTGTGTTACACACTGAATTTTAAATGGATTAAATTGAGATTGTGTGTCACTGGCCTACACACAATACCACATAATGTCAAAGTGGAATTATGTTTCTAGAAATCTTTACAAATTAATAAAAAATGAAAAGCTGAAATGTCTTGAGTCAATAAGTATTCAACCCCTTTGTTATGGCAAGCCTAAATAAGTTGAGGAGTAAAAATGTGTTTAACAGGTCGCGTAATAAGTTGCATGGACTCACTCTGTGTACAATAATGTTGAACATGATTTTTGAATGACTACCACATCTCTGTACCCCACACATACAATTATCTGTAAGGTCCCTCAGTCGAGCAGTGAATTTCTAACACAGATTCAACCACAAACACCAGGGAGGTTTTCCAATGCCTCACAAAGAAGGGTACCTATTGGTAGATGGGTCAAAATAAAATAAGCAGACATTGAATATCCCTTTGAGCATGGTGAAGTTATTAATTACACTTTGATGGTGTATCAATACACCCAGTCACTACAAAGATACAGGCGTCCTTCCTAACTCAGTTTCTGAGGAGGAAGGAAACCATTCACCATGAGGCCAATGGTGACTTTAAAACAGTTAGAGTGTAATGGCTGCGATAGGAGAAAACTGAGGATGGATCAACAACATTGTATTTACTCCACAATACTAACCTAATTGACATAGTGAAAAGAAGGAAGCCTGTACAGAATACAAATAATATAATACTGCAAAATATTTGGCAAAGCAATTGACTTTTTGTCCTGAATACAAAGTGTTATGTTTGGGGGAAATCCTCCAAACATGGCTGCATCAGGTTATGGGTATTCTTGTAATCGTTAAGGACTGGGATGTTTTTCAGGATAAAAAATAAACTGAATGGAGCTAAGCACATGCAAAATCCTAGAGGAAAACCTGGTTCCGTCTGCTTTCCACCAGACACTGGGAGATGAATTCACCTTTCAGTAGGACAATAACCTAAAACATGAGGCCAAATCTACACGGGAGTTGCTTACTAAGAAGACCGTGAATGTTCCTGAGTGGCTGAGTTACAGTTTTGACTTAAATCTGCTTGAAAATATATGTCACGACCTGAAAATGGTTGTCTAGCAATGATCAAAACCAATTTGACAGAGCTTGAATAATTTTGAAAATAATAATGGGCAAATATTGAACAATCCAGGTGTGGAAAGGTCTTAGAGATTTACCCCAAAAAAATTATTTGAATCCCACTTTGTAAAACAACTAAATGTGGAAAAAGTCAAGGGGTGTTAATACTTTCTGAAGGCACTGTATGTAAATGAGATATTTCTGTATTTAATTTTCAATAACTGTGCAAACATTTCTAAAAACATGTTTTCACTTTGTCATTATGGGGTATTGTGTGTAGATGGGTGAGAAAAAAAGAAAGAATCCATTTTGAATTCAGGCTGTAACAGAACAAAATGTGGAATAAGTCAAGGGGTATGAATACTTTCTAAAGGCATACAACCACCTCTAATTCACATCAGTCAATTCATGACTCACATTCGCTCACAGACACACCCGCCCAATCACACAGAGCAGCACTGGAGTCCATACATGACAATGCAGTAATGTACAATGATATCATTGACACTTTGTCTTCAATAGGACAAACATGCATACAGGTCGCCACCTGCTGGACAGATTGGGAAATGCCAGAACAAACTTTCTGTAGGATACATTCGGATTTCCAGAATGTATTCTTTAAAATGACTTAACACATTAGCATCAGAACACAAAGTACACCATTTTAAAATATACTCAAGTTTATACATTTACACAGTATACAGTACTGCACAATGGAGAGTTGCAGTCCGTCTTAGAATTGGTGGCTAGTAAAAACTAGTCCTGAACATCTCTAAAACTAAGAGCATTGTGTTTGGTACAAATCATTCCCTAAGTTCTAGACTTCAGCTGAATCTGATAATGACTAATGTGGCTGTTGAGCAGGTTGAGGAGACTAAATTACTTGGTGTTACCTTGGATTGTAAACGGTCATTGTCAAAACATATTGACTCAATGGAATGGTTGTAAAGATGGGAAGAGGTCTGTCCGTGAGAAAGAGATGCTTTGCTTTTTTGACACCATACTTCACAAAGCAACTCGTGCAGGCTCTAGTTTGATCTTATCTTGATTATTGCTCAGTTATATGGTCAGGTGCTGCAAAGAAGGACCTAGAAAAACTGCAGTTGTCCCAGAACATAGTGGCACATCTTACTCTTCACTGTAATCAGAGGGCTAATATTAATATTATGCATGCCAGTCTCTCTTGGCTAAAAGTAGATGGAGAGACTGACTAAATAATTAAATTCCAAATTGTTTGTAATGTCAACTTACACACAGCACTGACAGACACCCTTACTCCAACAGACATGCCACCAGGGGTATTTTCACAGTCCCATAATCCAGAACAAATTCAAGAGGAACATACAATATTATATAGAGCCATGATTGCATGGAACTCCCTTCTATCTCAGATTGCTCAAGTGAACAGCAAACCTGGTTTTAAAAAAACTGATAAAGCAACACCTCACGGCACAACGCATCTCCCCTATTGTGTGTATGTACTGATATGTAGGCTATGTGTGACATTTGAAATGTATGCAGTTCTGTCCTTGAGCTGTTGTTGTCTATTAATGTTCTGTATTATGTCAGGTTTCATGTTCTGTGTGGACCCCAGGAAGAGTAGCTGCTGCTTTGCTGTTCACTATCACAACAGCTAATGGGGATCCTAATAAACTACCAATACCAAGTATGACCAATAGTCAGATAGATATTGGCCCTGTTGGAGTACTTCAGAAATGCATTCTTCTTTCTTTCCTACAAGAATACAGAACTGAATTGGTTGAATTGGTGAAAATGAAAGGGTAACATTGCTTTCGCCACCATCATTTATAGATCTGTGCTTGCCTCAAGGAAAGTATTTGAACACGGCCATTGTTGTAAAACAGTTTCTTTACATGATTTGAACCTCTCTTTCACTCTACCTCTCCCAGGTTGTTGAAGGACACTCTGCAGGACAGTCAGTTCAGTGGGAGGTACCAGCACCTGTTAGCAGGACTGCTGTGCTGTGTGGGTCGGGGTCTAAGAGAGGAGTTTGACAGACAGTGCTGGCTGGTCACCATCCTGGCTAAAGTAGCCCAACGTGTCCGGGACGCCTCTCCCTCCAGCAGACAGGCCATCCTTCGAGAGGGCCTAGAGGAGGTCAAGCAGTTCTTCTCAGTCAGTAGCAGCTGCCGTCTCCCCCTCAACCCTGGCATGCTGGTCAAAGCCATCAACATACAGGTACGTGTTTTTTATAAAACCTTTCTTTTGACAGGGAGTCAATGCTGAGACCAAGGTCTCTTTTCCAGATGAGGCCTGTATAGCACCACAATACACATCAAAATATAATAAACACATTCAACTACACATTCATATACACAATTAAATACATGAAAAAGAAAACACAATCATAAAATAACAGACACATTCTTCAGTAAAAAGGTCCCCTAACAACCGTCTGAAATGCCCTAGAGGCATCAATTCCTCCAATTTTAAAGTGCATTGTAGATCATTCCACACGTAAGGTGCAAGGAGATTAAAGGCTGGTTTACCTAACTCTCTAGACACCAATAAGTCGGAAGTTTGTGGAGCAGGGCTTTGTAAACAAAAAGAGTGTAATGATGTGATCTAAGTGACTTCAAAGAGGTCCAGCCAACCTTTTGGTAAAGAATACAGTGATTAGTAATAAAACTTTATTTTTACTATTTTCTACATTGTATAATAATAGTGAAGATATCAAAACTATGAAATAACATATGGAATCATGTAGTAAGCAAAAAAGTGTTAAACAAATCAAAATATACTTTATGTTTGAGATTCTTCAAATAGCCACCCTTTGCCTTGATGACAGCTTTGCACACTCTTGGCATTCTCTCAACCAGCTTCACCTGGAATGCTTTTCCAACAGTCTTGAAGTAGTTCACACATATACTGAGCACTTGTTGGCTGCTTTTCCTTCATTCTGCGGTCAGACTCATCCCAAACCATCTCAATTGGGTGGAGGTCGGGGATTGTGGAGGCCAGGTCATCTGATGCAGCACTCCAACACTCTCCTTCTTGGTAAAATAGCCCTTACACAGCCTGGAGGTGTGTTGGGTCATTGTCCTGTTGAAAAACAAATGATAGTCCCACTAAGCCCAAAACAGATGGGATGGCGTATCACTGTAGAATGCTGTGGTAGCCATGCTGTGTGGGTCATTGTCCTGTTGAAAAACAAGTGATAGTCCCACTAAGCCCAAACCAGATGGGATGGCGTATCACTGTAGAATGCTGTGGTAGCCATGCTGGTTAAGTGTGCCTTGAATTCTAAATAAATCACAGACAGTGTCACCAGCAAAGCACCATCACACCTCCTCCTTCATGCTTTACGGTAGGAAATACACATGAGGAGATCATCTAATCACCAACAACGCTTCTCACAAAGACACAGCGGTTGGAACCAAAAATCTCCAATCTAGACTCCAGACATAAGGACACATTTCCACCGGTCTGATTGCTTGTGTTTTTTGGCCCAAGCAAGTCTCTTCTTCTTATTGGTTTCTTTGCAGCAATTTGACCATGAAGGCCTGATTCACACAGTTCTGAGGCTGGTAACTCTAATGAACTTATCCTCTGCAGCAGAGGTAACTCTGGGTCTTCCATTCCTGTGGCGGTCCTCATGAGAGCCAGTTTCATCATAGCGCTTGATGGTTTTTACGACTGCACTTTTTCCGGCTTGACTGACCTTAAAATAATGATGGAATGTTGTTTCTCTTTGCTTATTTGACCTGTTCTTGCCATAATATGGACTTGGTATTTTACCAAATAGGGCTATCTTCTGTATACCCCGCCCCTACCTTGTCACAACACAACTGATTGGCTCAAACGCATTAAGAAGGAAAGAAATTCCACAAATTAACTTTTAAGAAGGCACACCTGTTAATTGAAATGCATTCCAGGTGACTACCTCATGAAGAATCTCATATATAAAATATATTTAGATTTGTTTAACACTTTTTGGGTTACTACATGATTCCATATGTGTTATGTCATAGTTTTGATGTCTTCACTATTACTCTACAATGTAAAAATAAAGAAAAACCCTTGAATGAGAAGGTGTCCAAACTTTTGACTGGTAGTGTACTTCAGGAAATTCAAGAAACCCTGTCAGTCACGATGGCCTGAGGTCTGACACTAAGATAATCATAAAACCATGAACAGGCTTCAGAGCTCAGGCCTATCGAGAACAACTTATTCAATAAAATAGCATGATCAACAGTATCAAAAGCTTTTGACAGGTCCACAAACAAAGCAGCACATTTCATTTGAGTGTCTAAAGCATTGCCAAGATCATTAACAACTGAAGTGGTTGCTGTAATAGTCCTACACTATGCCCAGGCCTAAAGCCTGATTGGTTTAAATTAAAAATACACTTCTCAGATGAAAAAGAGCCAAGTTGTATATTTACCAAGGATTCAAGTATCTTAGCAAGACAAGGAGGTGATAATTATTACGATCACTACTCTCCCCGCCCTTATGGAGTGGCAGCACAAGAGCTGATTTCCATACTTTTGGAATATTTCCTGATAGCAATATTAAATAAAAAATGTGGGATATTGAGCCAACAATGATGGGCGCTGCACACTTAAGCAGACCGGGATCCAATTGGTCGCCCCCTGTGGATTTCTTGTTGTCTATTGCTAGCAAAGCATCCAGAACTTATTTTTCTGTAAATAGCCTAAAAGAAAAGCTTTGACTATCTGGTCATTCAGCAAGTTTCCTTTATCAGCATCCAGCTCAATATCATTGTGAATAGGCTTAGCCCGCTGAAATAAAATGGTGATTAAATCCATCAATGATGGAATTTTTTCCGTAATGAAGCCTGTGTCTGAATGAATTTGTTGGCAGAGAGGAAGAAGAACCCTTCAGGGATCTGACAGTTTTCCAGAATTTAGCCGGGTTCCCATTACAATCCGAAAGAGTGGTTACATAATACTCAGATTTAGCCTTTCTGATTTGTCTTACACAATGATTCCTCAGTTGCTTAAAAGCTTGCCAGTCTGGGCCTAAGCCTGTGTTCCTGGCCTTGACCCAAGTATCATCTCTTTTATGAATGACTTCTGATAATTCCCTGGTCAAAAGTAGAATACTGTAGGGAACAGGGACGCATGCCCATAGTTTGTTTGCATAAATGCTAATGCACAGTGTCTTTGGTTGCTTGGTTGTATGTTTGCCTCTGGGTGTTCTGTGTTTGCCTCTGGGTGTTCTGTGTTCAATTGTAGTATGTGTATGTTCCTTTGTATTTTAGTGTGTGTGTGTGTGTGATCTCTAATCCTTTCTCTCATCTCCTGTCTGCAGTCGTGCTCCTACTTCAACTCCAACGCCGTGCCCCTCAAACTGTCCTTCCAGAACCTGGACCCTCGAGGAGACAACATCAACGTCATCTTCAAGGCACACATTCTAAACTACTGAATCAACAAACCACTTCATTGTGCTTTTCTGAACCCTTGTTGACCTTTGACCTCTGTGACCTCTCTGTCTTGTGCCGTTTGACCTCTACTTCCCAGTCAGGTGATGACCTGCGCCAGGACATGCTGACCTTGCAGATCATCCGCATCATGAACAAGATCTGGATCCAGGAGGGACTGGACATGAGGATGGTCATCTTCAGATGCTTCTCTACTGGACGAGGCAGAGGTGAGGAAGGGAGAGCGAGGGGGGGGGGATATGAATTGGAGATGTGTTACAATACTGACTCCCCTCTCTACCTCTATCCTCCCCCCTCTTTCTCCTCCCTTCTATCCCACCCGCTCTCTCCCTCTCTTCCTTCCCCTCTCTCCCCTTCTCTCTCTCTCTCTGTCTGTCTGTGTGTCTGTGTGTGTGTGTCAGGTATGGTGGAGATGATTCCCCAGGCTGAGACTCTGAGGAAGATCCAGGGGGAACATGGAGTGACTGGTTCCTTTAAGGACCGCCCCCTGGCTGACTGGCTACAGAAACACAACCCTACAGAGGACGAGTACGAGAAGGTACGGTCACTAACGCGCGCGCACACTGTTGCCCGCATGCATGCACGCACTCACTCTCTCAAGCACACACACGTACGCACACACACTCTCTCTCTCTCCTTCTCAAACTCACAAACACACTCTGTCGTACACACTTTGACCTGTAACCTCTAACCCTGTTCTATGTCATGCTAGGCTGTGGAGAACTTCATTTACTCGTGCGCAGGCTGCTGTGTGGCCACCTACATCTTGGGTATCTGTGACCGCCACAACGACAACATCATGCTGAAGACCAGCGGTCACATGTTCCACATCGACTTCGGCAAGTTCCTGGGACATGCCCAGATGTTCGGCAACATCAAACGGTGAGCCCTGGAGGCAGAAAGTACGCTGGGAAATGTATGCCCAACTTCAATTTCTAATCTAGCCGTATCCCCTATCGCTAGGACAGAGGATCACAACTTTAGCCACTTAGTCTTTGTTTTTAGCTATGCCTTACCGAAGGGTCCTTGCTATCTAGAATCCTTGGGATGTCCCAACTCTGATGTCACCCCATTGAAGTTGAAATTTAAAATGGTTAGGGTAAGGGTAGGGGTTAATGTTAGGGCTTAGGATATGGACATCCCAAGGATCCCAAAACTGTATTTTTCTGACCGACACAGATGGTTCTGTTCCTATTGGTAGAGACCAATTGCCCTGTGTTCTGATTACTGTTTCTCTGTGTGTGTGTGATTGGCAGGGACCGTGCTCCATTTGTGTTCACTTCTGACATGGCCTATGTCATCAACGGAGGAGACAAACCTTCCAGTCGCTTTCATGACTTTGTGGACCTGTGCTGTGAGGCCTACAACCTCATCCGCAAACATGCACACCTCTTCCTCAACCTACTGGGACTGGTACGTACATATGGACCGCCATACGTAAAAATGTATGCACACATGACTGTAAGTCGCTTTGGATAAAAGCGTCTGCTAAATGGCATATTATTATATTATTACACGCAGGCACACACACACACGTGCGCACACATACACTCACACACACTGTTTTCCTATGTCTCCTGTGTAGATGTTGTCATGTGGCATCCCTGAGCTGTCAGATCTGGATGATCTGAAGTATGTCTACGACGCCCTGAGACCTCACGAGTCTGAGGCTGACGCCACCATGTACTTTACCAGGTACACACACACAAAAATACAGTGAGGGGAAAAAAGTATTTGATCCCCTGCTGATTTTGTACGTTTGCCCACTGACAAAGAAATGATCAGTCTATAATTTTAATGGTAGGTTTATTTGAACAGTGAGAGACAGAAGAATAACAACAACAAAAATCCAGAAAAAAAACGCATGTCAAAAATGTTATAAATTGATTTGCATTTTAATAAGGGAAATAAGTATTTGACCCCCTCTCAATCAGAAAGATTTCTGGCCCCCAGGTGTCTTTTAAACAGGTAACGAGCTGAGATTAGGAGCACACTCTTAAAGGGAGTGCTCCTAATCTCAGCTTGTTACCTGTATAAAAGACACCTGTCCACAGAAGCAATCAATCAATCAGATTCCAAACTCTCCACCATGGCCAAGACCAAAGAGCTCTCCAAGGATGTCAGGGACAAGATTGTAGACCTACACAAGGCTGGAATGGGCTACAAGACCATCGCCAAGCAGCTTGGTGAGAAGGTGACAACAGTTGGTGCGATTATTCGCAAATGGAAAAAACACAAAATAACTGTCAATCTCCCTCGGCCTGGGGCTCCATGCAAGATCTCACCTCGTGGAGTTGCAATGATCATGAGAACGGTGGAACGAGGAATCAGCCCAGAACTACACGGGAGGATCTTGTCAATGATCTCAAGGCAGCTGGAACCATAGTCACCAAGAGAACAATTGGTAACACACTACGCCGTGAAGGACTGAAATCCTGCAGCGCCCGCAAGGTCCCCCTGCTCAAGAAAGCACATATACAGGCCCGTCTGAAGTTTGCCAATGAACATCTGAATGATTCAGAGGAGAACTGGGTGAAAATGTTGTGGTCAGATGAGACCAAAATGGAGCTCTTTGGCATCAACTCAACTCGCCGTGTTTGGAGGAGGACGAATTCTGCCTATGACCCCAAGAACACCATCCCCACCGTCAAACATGGAGGTGGAAACATTATGCTTTGGGGGTGTTTTTCTGCTAAGGGAACAGGACAACTTCACCGAATCAAAGGGACGATGGAAGGGGCCATGTACCGTCAGATCTTGGGTGAGAACCTCATTCCCTCAGCCAGGGCATTGAAAATGGGTAGTGGATGGGTATTCCAGCATGACAATGACCCAAAACACACGGCCAAGGCAACAAAGGAGTGGATCAAGAAGAAGCACATTAAGGTCCTGGAGTGGCCTAGCCAGTCTCCAGACCTTAATCCCATAGGAAATCTGTGGAGGGAGCTGAAGGCTCGAGTTGCCAAACGTCAGCCTCGAAACCTTAATGACTTGGAGAAGATCTGCAAAGAGGAGTGGGACAAAATCCTTCCTGAGATGTGTGCAAACCTGGTGGCCAACTACAAGAAACGTCTGACCTCTGTGATTGCCAACAAGGGTTTTGCCACCAAGTACTAAGTCATGTTTTGCAGAGGGGTCAAATACTTATTTCCCTCATTAAAATGCAAATCAATTTATAACATTTTTGACATGCGTTTTTCTGGATATTTTTGTTGTTATTCTGTCTCTCACTGTTCAAATAAACCTACCATTAAAACTATAGACTGATCATGTCTTTGTCAGTGGGCAAACGTACAAAATCAGCAGGGGATCAAATACTTTTTTCCTTCACTGTACGTCTGTATCATTGTCTCACGTTGAGGGACGAGCGTCACGTAGCAGTGACGCCATCTGACATGAGACTATGACTCATGAATATAACTCTATACTGTAGACTTATAGACCGTATAGTCATAGACTGTGTGTTTCTGTCTGGTTTTTCCATTTGTCTGCTCTGCGTTGTTGTCTCTTGTTTGACTGATCTTTCTCTCCCCCCTCACTCTCTCTCTCCTCACTCTGTCTGTCTGTCTGTCTGTCTGTCTGTCTGTCTGTCTGTCTGTCTGTCTGTCTGTCTGTCTGTCTGTCTGTCTGTCTGTCTGTCTGTCTGTCTGTCTGTCTGTCTGTCTGTCTGTCTGTCTATCTATCTATCTATCTATCTATCTATATATCTTCTATCTATCGACTATCTATCTAGCTATCTAGATCCGATCGAGATGATATGATCGAGAGAGATCGTATATCTCCTCTCTAGAGAGATAATCGATCTTGAGAGCCTCCCCTCTTCTCTCTCGCCTCTCCCTCTCCGCGAGAAAAACCTAGTCGAGACCCCTCTCTACAATCTCCTCTCCCTCTATCCTCTAGCCTCTCTCTCTCTCTCTCTCGCTCTCTCTCCCTCTCTCTATAGCTCTCTCTCTCTCTAGGTTGATAGAGTCAAGTCTGGGCAGTGTTGCCACTAAGTTGAACTTCTTCATCCATAACTTGGCCCAGATGAAGTTTGCCTCATCCGAGGAGCGTCCTGTCCTCTCCTTCGCCCCACGGGTTTACACCCTCAAGACTGACGGACTCATCCGCAACCTCTTTGTCTGCCGACACATACGAACATACAGCCCCAGCAAAGGATACGTAAGTCTACAGTCATACAGTTGAAGTCGGAAGTTTACATACACTTAGGTTGGAGTCATTAAAACTTGTTTTTCAACCACTCCACACATTTCTTGTTAACAAACTATAGTTCAGGCAAGTCGGTTAGGAATAGTAATTTTTCCAACAATTGTTTACAGACAGATTATTTCACTTATAATTCACTGCATCACAATTCCAGTGGGTGAGAAGTTTACATACACTAAGTTGACTGTGCCTTTAAACAGCTTGGAAAATTCCAGAAAATGATGTCATGGCTGTAGAAGCTTCTGATAGGCTAATTGACATCATTTGAGTCAATTGGAGGTGTACCTGTGGATGTATTTCAAGGCCTACCTTCAAACTCAGTGCCTCTTTGCTTGACATCATGGGAAAATCAAAAGAAATCAGCCAAGACCTGAGAAAAGAAATTGTAGACCTCCACAAGTCTGGTTCATCCTTGGGAGCAATTTCAAAACGCCTGAAGGTACCACGTTCATCTGTACGAACAATAGTACGCAAGTATAAACACCATGGGACCACGCAGCCCTCATACCGCTCAGGAAGGAGACACTTTCTGTCTCCTAGAGATGACCGTACTTTGGTGCGAAAAGTGCAAATCAATCCCAGAACAACAGCAAAGGACCTTGTGAAGATGCTGGAGGAAACAGGTACAAAAGTATCTATATCCACAGTAAAACGAGTCCTATATCGACATAACCTGAAAGGCCGCTTAGCAAGGAAGAAGTCACTGCTCCAAAACCACCATGAAAAAGCCAGACTACGGTTTGCAACTGCACATGGGGACAAAGATCGTACTTTTTTGAGAAATGTCCTCTGGTCTGATGAAACAAAAACAGAACTGTTTGGCCATAATGACCATCATTATGTTTGGAGGAAAGGGGGGAAGGCTTGCAAGCCGAAGAACACCATCCCAACCGTGAAAGACAGGGGTGGCAGCATCATGCTGTGGGGGTGCTTTGCTGCAGGAGGGACTGGTGCACTTCACAAAATAGATGGCATCATGAGGAAGGAAAATTATGTGGATATATTGAAGCAAGCTGAAGTAAATCATTCTCTACTATTATTCTGACATTTCACATTCTTAAAATAAAGTGGTGATCCTAACTGACCTAAGAAAGGGAATTTTTACTAGGATTGTATTTGGCTAAGGTGTATGTAAACTTCCGACTTCAACTGTACGTACCTACAACCCTAGTAAATTAAACATACAGTACCAGTCAAAGGTTTGGACACACCTACTAATTCCAGGGTTTTTCTTTATTTTTGAAGAATAATAGTGAATACATAAAAACTATGAAATAACACACATGGAGTCATGTAGTAACCAAAAAAGTGTTAAAAAAAATCAAAATATGTTATATTTGAGATTCTTCAAAGTAGCCACCCCTTTGCCTTGATGACAGCTTTGCACACTCTTGGCATTCTCTCAACCAGCTTCATGAGGTATTCACCTGGAATGCATTTCAATTAACAGTTGTGCCTTGTTAAGAGTTAATTTGTGGAATTTCGTTCCTTCTAAATGCATTTGAGACAATCAGTTGTGTTGTGACAAGGTAGGGGTGGTATACAGAAGATAGCCCTATTTGGTAAAAGACCAAGTCCATATTCTGGCAAGAACAGGTCAAATAAACAAAGAGAAACAACAGTACATCATTATTTTAAAACATGAAGGTCAGTCAAGCCAGAACATTTCAAGAACTTTGAAAGTTTCTTCAAGTGCAGTAGCAAGAACCAACAGGTGATATGATGAAACTGGCTCTCATGAGGACCGCCACAGGAAAGGGAGACCCAGAGTTACCTCTGCTGCAGAGGATAAGTTCATTAGAATAACTGCACCTCAGATTGCAGCCCAACTAAATGCTTCACAGAATTCAAGTAACAGACACATCTCAACATCAGCTGTTCAGAGGTGACTGTGTGAATCAGGCCTGGTTCACAGCTGGTAGAGCACGGCGCTTGTAACGCCAAGGTAGTGGGTTCGATCCCCGGGACCACCCATACACAAAAATGTATGCACGCATGACTGTAAGTCGCTTTGGATAAAAGCGTCTGCTAAATGGCATATTATTATATTATTATTATTCATGGTCGAATTGCTGCAAAGAAACCACTACTAAAGGACACCAATAAGAAGAAGAGACTTGATTGGGCCAAGAAACACGAGCAATGGGCATTAGACCGGCGGAAATCTGTCCTTTGGTCTGATGAGTCCAAATTTGAGATTTTTGGTTCTAACCGCCGTGTCTTTGTGAGACCTCCAGGCTGTGTAATGGCTATTTGACCAAGAAAGAGAGTAATGGAGTGCTGCATCAGATGACCTGGCCTCCACAATCACCCGATCTCAACCCTATTGAGATGGTTTGAGATGAGCTGGACCGCAGAGTGAAGGAAAAGCAGCCAACAAGTGCTCAGCATATGTGGGAACTCCTTCAAGACTGTTGGAAAAGCATTCCAGGTGAAGCTGGTTGAGAGAATGCCAAGAGTGTGCAAAGCTGTCATCAAGGCAAAGGGAGGCTACTTTGAAGAATCTCAAATATAAAATATATTTTGATTTGTTTAACACCTTTTTGGTTACTACATGATTCCATATGTGTTATTTCATAGTTTTGATGTCTTCACTATTATTCAACATTTTGACTGGTACTGTACGTAAGTCTACAGTTGCTTGTATGCAAAGGCCAAGCAAGGAATAAGTCGTACACTATACTAGGTATACACATAGACCCAGCAAATGAAAGCTTTTTAAGTTGGATGTATAAACATATGCACCTACACCAGGCAGTGGCTGTCAGTGCTATTTCAGATGAGCGAGGACAATTTGTTTTCCATGAGCATGGCCTTATTTCTATCACAGGATATTGGATGACTGTCATTCATATTCCATTCCTTGTTTTCGAAAGAAAAGCAATTTTTTTGTCCATTTAAATAACATCAAATTGATCAGAAATACAGTGTAGACATTGTTAATGTTGTAAATGGCTATTGTAGCTGGAAACGGCTGACTTTTTATGGAATATCTACATAGGCGTACAGAGGCCCAGTATCAGCAACCATCAGTCCTGCAAAACACCAGTCTCAACGTCAACAGTGAAGAGGCGACTCCGGGATGCTGACCTTCTAGGCAGAGCTGCAAAGAAAAAGCCATATCTCAGACTGGCCAATAAAAAGAAAAGATTACGATGGGCAGTCTGAGATATGGCTTTTTCTTTGCAACTCTGCCTAGAAGGTCAGCATCCCGGAGTCGCCTCTTCACTGTTGACGTTGAGACTGGTGTTTTGCGGGTACTATTTAATCAAGCTGCCAGTTGAGGACCTGTGAGGCGCCTGTTTCTCAAACAAGACACTAATGTATTTGTCCTCTTGCTCAGTTGTGCACCGGGGGCTCCCACTCCTCTTTCTATTCTGGTTAAAGCCAGTTTGCGCTGTTCTGTGAAGGGATAGTATACAGCGTTGTACGAGATCTTCAGTTGCTTGGCAATTTCTCGCATGGAATAGCCTTAATTTCTCAGAACAAGAATATACTGACGAGTTTCAAAAGAAAGTTATTTGTTTCTGGCCATTTTGATTCTGTAATCGAACCCACAATTGCTGATGCGGCAGATACTCAACTAGTCTCAAGAAGGCCAGTTTTATTGCTTCTTTAATCAGCACAACAGTTTTCAGCTGTGCTAACATAATTGCAAAAGGGTTTTCTAATGATCAATTAGCCTTTTAAAATGATAAACTTGGATTAGCAAACACAACGTGCCATTGGAACACAGGACTGATGGGTGCTGATAATGGGCCTCTGTAGATATTCCATTAAAAATCAGCCATTTCCAGCTACAATAGCCATTTACAACATTAACAATGTCTAAAATGTATTTCTGATCAATTTGATGATATTTTAAAGGACATAATAATTGCTTTTCTTTAGAAAACAAGGACATTTCTAAGTGACCCCAAACTTTCGAACGGTAGTGTATATGTTTAAAATATAAACTTTGCTCCAGTATGTAACTCCTGTGTGTCTCTCTCCCCAGGCATTTGTGGTGAAGGTGGAGCGGGAGGGCCAACAGGAGTCAGTGTTGGTACAGAGGAGCTTTGAGGAGTTCTTTGAACTACACAGTAAACTACGCCTCATCTTCCCCTCGTCCAAACTACCCAGGTAACACACACACATACACTTATGCACACACACACACACTGATAATGTACAGAGAACATAACCCTTCTCTTGAAACAACGCTTAACTGTAAGTAGTGATAGAGGAATAGTAAAATATGAGTGATAATAATGGAGTATTAATCTATCGTGGACAGACTACGCATCTGACCAAATTCTGGGTTAACCGAGATTAATGGAGTCTAAATAACTGAAGGAAATTATGTCAGTGGTATCTATCTGTACCCATACTAACTACCTACAGTAACTAAATGTAGCAACTGTAAAGTGAAACCATGGCAAAGTCCTTTGATGCCCCTCCCAGTTTCCCCAGCCGCTTTTTGATTGGGCGGTCTCGAGGAGAGGCGATGGCTGATAGGAGGAAAGATGAGCTGAACGGATACGTCTGGCATCTGGTGCACGCTGCGCCAGAGGTCGCCCAGGTAACCAGTCATCTCTGACCTTTGGTGTGTTCACTAGACTGACCACGAATGTCATCCTAATCCTGTAACAACCCATTTACAGTGGTTAAGTTGTAGTGTAAATGACTGTATGAAACTAATGTGATTCTTAAAATTACTGTATTCTTTTTCTAACTGACATCATAAATATCCAGACGTACACTGGCACAGGCTTATAAAAATAGAGGCAGAATGATCGGTACAGAGTCTCTGTCTGTCTGTGGTTTCAGTTTGACTGCAGGGTTTCTTAGAATTCAGCCCCTCCCTTTTAGAAGCAGCGTCATATCAGCCTTGCAGCCTCAGACACACAAACACACATGCTATCTCAGGGCGGATACTGCAGGCCCATATCAGAGCTGTCCAGCCTCGGAGTGCTGGCAAACTTCCGTCCACTGTATCCGTAATAGAACAGTTTGACAAACTAAAACACAAGCTAGAATTGCTAGCCCCAAATATTGGCATTTAATTTTTCCGTTTGGAAATAGTGCCCACAGTGTTCTGGTGAGTTAATGTGCTACCTGTAAATGAATTAGGCCTCATGGAGGTTGGCATATTGTTGTTTTCTGTCATTAACTGAATATACACTTCCTCCTCCTCTTCTCTACCCCCCTCTCTCTCTCTCTCTTTTGTCTATCTCTCAGTGTGACCTCATCTACACTTTCTTCCATCCTCTGCAAAGAGACGAGAAACCTGGAACAGTGGTGAACACACTGCAGAGCAAACCTGCAGGTACACACCCACACAGTGTGTGATTCATCATATTACTCACTGAGAGGATTGATAGCTATTGATTGGAACCATTATTTTAATGAGATCATTTGCACAGCATGTAGGCACAGGGTTAAAGTTAATCGCTTACTAAAAACAAACGCCCACACAGTATATCTACCAGCATCAGCCGACCCCGTGGCTCTGTATCCTTGGCGACGGGAATAGTAGCCTATGTGATAACTTTAACCAATCACAGACTAGGGTCTTATTATGCGCTGTTTGAACAACGTGTCGGGAATCACACAGCATGTCAAACACAGAGGTGTACACGAACACTAACGCTGTTATCTACATTTCTCTTAGACCATGCAGCATTTCTTGCTTTGGGAGCAGTTTTCAGTTCATACTTATTGCTGTTTGCACAGTTGGATAGTGAGATGTTATGGTTGCTGTGTTTGGTTCCATTGACCTAAGGATCAGGGTTAGGGTTAGAGGTCAATGGAACTCCAGCTGTTGCTCTGCCTGATTGGCTTTCTAATGAAGATGGATCTACAGCACTTACAGAGGAATAGAATCACCTATCTCTGTAGATCCATCCCTCCCTGGCCCGTCACACACACAATGCATGGACACACACCTCCTGCCACTATAAACACACACACTGTAGGCTATAGACTTATTCAGATCCTACATCATACTCTTTCAGCTCTAAACACATACTCTGTCTGAGTCTCTGTCTCTCTCCCCCACCTCCAGAGATCTGTTGGGCTCCGGTCTCAGGCAAAGTGGTAGGAGAGGTCAAGCTCTCCATCTCCTATAAGAGTGACAAGCTCTTCATCATGGTCATGCACATACGAGGCCTGGTGAGTGTATGCGTTTATGCGTGTGTGTGTGTGTACGCTCAGCATACTGATTGAGAATGTAATGAAGTTGTATACTGTTATTGTGGATATACTGACTATCCCCATCCCCCCTCTGTCTTTCCCAGCAACCCTTGCAGGATGGGACAGACCCTGACCCCTACGTCAAGCTGTACCTCCTCCCAGACCCCCAGAAAACCGGCAAGAGGAAGACCAAGGCTGCGCGACGCACCTGCAACCCCACCTACAACGAGATGGTGAGGAAAGGTTCCTAAGTACAAAATAAAACAAATCATTAATCTTACAATGGAGTCAAGAAGGCAAAATTATATTTGTCCCTTCTCTCTCCCCGTAGCTGGTGTATGACCGTATCCCTCGCGGGGACCTGCAGCAGAGGGTGATCCACCTGCGGGTGCTGGGGGAGGGTGCATTCTGGGAAAACACCCTGCTGGGCGAGGCCTTCATCCCCCTGAAGACCCTGACAGCCGGGCAGTGCTGGGCAGACTGGCACCAACTGGGCACACCCAGCACAGACTCCACACGCTGAGAGGTGGAGGGTGAGAGGGAGAGAGAGGAATGACTGATCAGGTTGTGTGTGCACACAGGTGTACGTGAGTGTGTTCAGTTGTTGTGGTCAGAGTTGTCCAGCTTCTCGGGGCTGGTTTATTCCCCCAGTGGGGGTGTGTGTTGACCCGTATCCTGCCCAGGTGGGAGGTGTGTGTTCTATCTAGGTTTGAGGTGTGTTTGTGTGTGTCTGTAGACTCATTGACCGTCAATCGTCACTGGACACTGTATCCATGGGACTGTACTGTACTGTATGGACCTACTGTAAGCCTCTCTGATCACCATAAGAAGGGATAACTGGAGCATGTGACCATAAGGGAAGATAACCAGTCTGTTCTTCTGGTGAATCTGACTACCAGAAGACTTTTCTCTGGTAACAACATGGCCTCCCAAGACCAGGCAGCACAGAGGACCAGTGGAAGGAAGCAGAGGGCATTGTTACTCTGTGAAAACATGGACCCCGCATCTTTCCTCTTATCTAGGGCCAATGGAGAGACGTCCATCTTACCGCCTGACGAAAAAGGGGTGTAGTCCCCTCCAAAGTTGTGTCTTTTAAAAGAGAACCTTAAGTTATTTATTTTTCAAATGTTATCCTTCTGTTAATGCAGCTCCATTTCGAGCTCGGTTTGGTTGTGTGATGTGTGTATATGATTTTGATTTCTGTGTGTTCGCCAGATTTATGCAGATCGTGATATGTGAATTATGTTGGGTCCAGTCTTTCTGATTTGAGAGAGAGAGGGCGTAGATGCTTTTGTATCGTTGTGGGGTCGAGATGTACAGTCATGGTCAAAAGTTTTGAGAATGACACAAATATTAATTTTCACTAAGTCTGCTGCCTCAGTTTTTATGATGACAATTTGCATATACTCCAGAATGTTATGAAGAGTGATCAGATGAATTGCAATTAATTGCAAAGACCATCTTTGCCATGACAATGAACTTAATCCCAAACAAACATTTCCACTGCATTTCAGCCCTGCCACAAAAGGACCAGCTGACATCATGTCAGTGATTATCTCGTTAACACAGGTGAGAGTGTTGACGAGGATAAGGCTGGATATCACTCTGTCATGCTGATTGAGTTAGAAAAACAGACTGGAAGCTTTAAAAGGAGGGTGGTGCTTGAAATCATTGTTCTTCCTCTGTTAACCATGGTTACCTGCAGGGAAACACGTGCCGTCATCATTGCTTTGCACAAAAAGGGCTTCACAGGCAAGGATATTGCTGCTAGTAAGATTGCACCTAAATCAACTATTTATCGGATCATCAAGAACTTCAAGTAGAGAGGTTCAATTGTTGTGAAGAAGGCGTCAGGGCGCCCAAGAAAGTCCAGCAAGCGCCAGGACCGTCTCCTAAAGTTGATTCAGCTGTGGGATCGGGGCACCACCAGTGCAGAGCTTGCTCAGGAATGGCAGCAGGCAGGTGTGAGTGCATCTGCACGCACAGTGAGGCGAAGACTTTTGGAGGATGGCCTGGTGTCAAGAAGGGCAGCGAGGAAGCCACTTCTCTCCAGGAAAAACATCAGGGACAGACTGATATTCTGCAAAAGGTACAGGGATTGGACTGCTGAGGACTGGAGTAAAGTAATTTTCTCTGATGAATCCCCTTTCCGATTGTTTGGGGCATCCGGAAAAAAGCTTGTCCGGAGAAGACAAGGTGAGCGCTACCATCAGTCCTGTGTCATGCCAACAGTAAAGCATCCTGAGACCATTCATGTGTGGGGTTGCTTCTCAGCCAAGGGAGTGGGCTCACTCACAATTTTGCCTAAGAACACAGCCATGAATAAAGAATGGTACCAACACATCCTCCGAGAGCAACTTCTCCCAACCATCCAAGAACAGTTTGGTGACGAACAATGCCTTTTCCAGCATGATGGAGCACCTTGCCATAAGGCAAAAGTGATAAATAAGTGGCTCGGGGAACAAAACATCGACATTTTGGGTCCATGGCCAGGAAACTCCCCAGACCTTAGTCCCATTGAGAACTTGTGGTCAATCCTCAAGAGGCGGGTGGACAAACAAAAACCCACAAATTCGGACAAACTCCAAGCATTGGTTATGCAAGAATGGGCTGCCATCAGTCAGGATGTGGCCCAGAAGTTAATTGACAGCATGCCAGGGCGGATTGCAGAGGTCTTGAAAAAGAAGGGTCAACACTGCAAATATTGACTTTTTGCATAAACTTAATGTAATTGTCAATAAAAGCCTTTGACACTTATGGAATGCTTGTAATTATACTTCAGTATACCATAGTAACATCTGACAAAAATATCTAAAAACACTGAAGCAGCTAACTTTGTGAAGACCAATACTTGTGGCATTCTCGAAACTTTTGACCACGACTGTACAGTACCAACCGGACCTGCCTATGGTATGGGTCCACCCTAACACATTAAAGACTCACCAGTGATGGTCTATGGCCCACGTGACTTTAGTCCACTCAGCCTGATTCAGTAGCTACTCTACTGTAGAACTTGTTGGAGTGTGCGCTGGTGTGAGTGTGTGTATTTGTGTCTCCCATTGTTGACTAGCTGTTGTAATCCAAGCTGTACCTAAGCTTCATTTGTCCATTTGATGATAAGTGACAGGTCGCTAATTGCATTTCAAATGTAGTATTGACATAACAAAGTTGTTTCTTATATCAATGCCTTTAAAAATACTTTTTTTGTTGCATGAGTGCTTCTACCCGACACATACATGTAGGTCTATGTGGGGAAACTCAAACGGTTTGCTGAGGTCACAGATAAACTGTCTGAGCAAAGAAATGCTCTTTCAAACACTAAACTCTCACACCATTCAACTGCATGCAGTGTAAATATTGCACTTGGTTTTATTTCTCATGCATTTTGAACTTACATTTGACTTCCATGGCTTTTCAAACTACAAAGGGATCCTGCTTATGTATTATACAGTACTGTAGCTATAAGAGGAAGTGACAATGACAGAAGTGCTGACGAAGCAAATCAAAGATTTGACTACATGTACATTGCGCAACTCATTTGTGTCTTGCCTTGGGAGATACTCAGTAATCTGATACTTTGCCATTTTTGGCAGTGATGTCTCACTCTCGTTTTCGTGTGTAAGAGGTGGACACACTGTCCTTGTTTCACTGGCAGACAGACACTGTGACCTCTTGCAATGCAAATAGTCAATTTTCAGTGGAATAATCTGCTTGTGGGCAGAGTTGTTGCTGTTGAGAGGGGAATATCAAGGTTAACTCATGAATTGAGCAAGAAGGGTTGACCTGTCCGAAAAATATAAATAACTAGGACCAGGTTTATTCCTGGTCAGTAAAAACCAACTCCTGGTGATATATGGTTAATCTGTGAAGGAAGTTTCTATTATAGAGCAGCTATCGTTAAGATAAGGACATCTTGGTGTCCGATGTTTTCAGATCAAAATACAATTACAGACGAATACAGGTTATGGCTGCCTTTCTAAGGTGTTGAAATGTAACACGTATTTGTTTGGATCATTAAACATACCACCATCCATTGCAAGATGGAATATGTAGATACTATTCATTTTGGTTTGGTTGCCTTGGCTTTGACATAACATACAGTTCACCAGCCCTGTTTTAAAAGCATTTTTATATATTTTTTAGAAATCTGTGAAAATGTTTCTTCATTCAGGATTCATAAAGAGTAGCTACATCACTGTTTTAGAAACAAGGGTAGGCAGTTTGAACAGGTGTGTGTTATAAATGACAAGAGGAGCTCTTCGACTAAAGGTTAGCCTACCTGAGGCTGAACTGCAGTAATCACACAGAACCAGTATGATTAACCCAAACCAACCAGTTTAACCACTGCACTCATTCAAAAAATACAACACTTTATTTGACTGCCCTTTGAATGTGTCTGGTGGATATTTGCATATTTTTGTTTGATTTCTAGAACAGGAAGAATATTCCCTGTGGTGAGTTTCACAGCAGTCGGAATGGCTGTAATGTGGCAATAGGCTCTTTGTGTGAAGTTTTTAAATTAATAAATTATTGAAAGATGACATTCTCCATATTGAGTGTTGGTATTTGTTGTGTGCTATAAGGCTGATGACAGATATTAAAGTGAAATTGTCTGATTTTATTTCCTTGTGTCAGTTGTACCACTTCAGGGGGAAAAAAGGATGAAATATGGCTTCCTTCTCCATGTCTCCTTTTCTTTCTGGTCTTGATACTGTAGCTGAGAGTAGAGTCATATATGGATCTCTATGCAGTATAGGACTCTGGGTAAAAGTGATATGATAGAAATGTTTCTCTTGCCTCTCAGACCAGTGATTTTATGAATGGAAGGAGACCGGGACAGAGGTTAATTGGAAGGCATTGGGACTTCCAAACCAAGCCCCTAGCACCTACCTGCTAAGTACCAAGTGTAGATCTGAAAATAATGCATAGGTCTGAGCAATATGGTGAACATTCTACCTATTCTTCCAGAAGGTACCTGCCTAGTTATTTCAGATCTACGTGAAGTGCCTAGGGGTAGGGGCTAGGGGTTGATTTGGGACTGGGCAAGAGTTTGACATGGGTCCTTCCAGTTCAGCCCCAAGGGACTGAACTCCGACCACTATGGAATGCTGGGAAAACGGGACAGAATGTAAGTTCAACATGAACTGGATCTTGTGTACTGTAAATACTGAGAATATCATTAATGTGATTTATTTCTTTTATTCAGGATATCATTTTACCCCACTTCTTATTCTTTAGATTTTAAAATGGTATTGCATTTTCTTATTTTTTGACCATGTTTTGTAATATTATTTGCTCTAAATAATAACAAAATAAACTTGAATCTAAAATACTTGTGTGTGTTTTGTGGTGATGTGGGTGTTTGTGTGAGCACTGTTCTGTTGTGTGTTTCATCTGATGAAAGCGCCGTGTAAGATGAAACATCCACTGACTCCGCAGCAGTCAGTATCATGCAAGATCATTGTACCATCGTGTTTATATGAAAATAACACATATGTCTAATTACCATGAAAACCCAACCAGTCACAAAACCATGGGGGAATGGATTAATGATAATTAATGGCATAATTAAACCTCGACTTCTGTTGCAGATAAAATAATTATCTGCAGATACAGCATTGGGGCTTAGGTATAGCTGGCGATCGTGATATACCCCATTATTTTCGATAGAGGTTGTAAGATTGAATCAATAAATGCCCTTTCTGTATCAGAATACACCCTTCTCTCTGAAACAGTTTCATGTGCTTTATCTGTTAATCTCAGTGTAGCTCAAAGGCTATGCCCTGATAATCATTTTCACTATGAGGGAGGGAGGATAGGCTACGCTTCAGTCAGTCTGCATACCTCTGTGTCTGTGTCCCAGCACACCCAGTCAGTCATCTGTGTAACAATCAGATTATTATTATAAGTGTGAATCATCCTGGGTGAATCTCTATGTGGGGAAACAAGGCTCACCATTGCAGGGTTGTTGCTCAGACAAGATCTGCTGGCTAAAGCTGAGAGGCCACAGATGATGAACAGAGACATAAATACAGTATGATGAGAGTGTATGGCATTCAACAGCTAGGAGTTCCCATACAGTATCCCAGGCATGGGAAAGATTCAAGTTACACTGTGCTAGGTACTGATACAACAAGTCAGGGCACCCCTATGAGTATTTAAATGTCACTCTAGGTACGAGCAGTGGTCTTGCCATATAAATACAATGTATTATATTGATTTTGGTCTGGCCCACTATGTTTAATGCTACCTCTGGCAACTTTCAGATTATTTTGCTGTAAAATATATACTCTTTCATGTTTGACACAGAGAGAGATTGAAACAAGATGCTTTTTAAAATTAAAATTGATGGATCACAAAGAGAGCACTTACATGAGTTGAGAATTTCCTCCTGATGTGCAACCCTCCTTTTAAAAATTTGGAATTGAAAATGTTCTTGTCATGAATATTTGATGCCTTAGAAAACTGTGCAGGCAGCACTCAAAGAAAATTGAACATTATGCATTCTTCATAAATACATGCATGGGTGGGTGGCCTCCTATAGGACACACTGCTGCATCAAAAATTCAGCAGAGCAGCAGACACCTCTCACCGAATTAACCAGTAGAAAGCTAATGGCTGCAAATGGGACCAAAAACCCATTCTTCCCAGCAATCAGGCCCCCAATGGGTTTGCTGCATCACTTATTAATCACATGCTCCAGAAACATGAGGGATAGGCTATTGGTGTTGTGTGCTGTGTCAGTACAGTTGCCATCCATAGGCCTTCTGTAACTGGAGAGCAACAGAGTGGAATGTTAACTTGATGCTAAACACACTAGTAGGCTTATATGGGCCTATATATGATTCCAATACCTAATGTATGGATTGATTTCAGAAATACTATACCCTATGCCAAAAGTATGACTTCAACTCCTCCTATTAAGACGCAATATTTCTAACTATTCAGAGTGTATCATGAAACCCAGTATTTCCATACACTGCAGGAGTCTGGGCCTTGGATTCACTTCATTATATAACGGGGACACTGGGTGTCATGCAACATCGCCTATGTGGTTTACTGACGCTGGTAACTCTGCGACAGTCCCTAAACAGTTATACAAAGGCTCTTTCACGACGTCCCCTAACGTTTCTGACGACATTCTCTTGTGAAAAGCGGGTAAACTACTGGCCGTACAAGGAAATGCAACAACGATTGTGAAAAGGGGAGAAAGATAGCCTGAATTCTTGCAACGAAATTATATATTTCGTTGATATCTAGATAAGACTAGTATTTGTCTTACGGTTTCATTCGATGAGGTTCGTTGTAGCGAATGAATTTGAACTATTTTTCTGATCACGGATTGTGCAAAACCTCGGTTAATGTTAGCAGCTAACTTAGTTTTAGTTACGTTCTGGAATCCAACCAGCTTTTTCTCCAAGCAAGACCAAAATGGCTTGCATATCATCGTTTCACCTGGGTTTATCCCTATGTTATGACTCGTCAAGTCTCTGCTCCGTTTCTACCGTCTCGACCGCTGTTTTTACAAAGCTTACTGCTCGAAAGAATATGAGAGCCGCGGACAACATGGACGATGGGATTCAGGAACCCAAGGACGGCTAACCGATATGCTATTGCTAGCCTTCCGTGATGGATAAGGGACCGTAATAGATGTTTCACTTCTAACTATGGACAGTGCTCTGAAGTGCACACCAAGTTAATAGCTACATTTATATTATCAGATTTGTCGCTAACAACTGCCAACGAAACGAACAGATGATCTCAAATCAAGATAACGTTAGCTACCTAGCTAGCTACCTAGCCTATTAACAGCTGTGAATACTAACTATCAAGTTGCAAGTTCTTGCTATCCATGATTGCCAGACTAAAGTTTGGTCTTCATATTTATTTTTGCACTCTCAAAATAGTTGTTTCATAACAACGTGTTAACATTGTCCTGGACGTGTACTTAAGTTAGTTAGCTAGCACAGTAGCTAACCAAAAAGCTTTGACAAACTGCACAAGTGCAAGCGGTGTTCTTTATTAAAACATTATTAATTTAGCTTTCTTGCATAGTGACTTTGTTGTCCACAAACCAGTATTAAGAATGTTTAGGAACATGAATCGCGGGGAACACTTTTCTGGGGTGCAGACGCCTCCATCCACTCCCGCCGGGCATGGAGTGGCCTCTCTCCAGCAACCAAACCAGGAGAGCTCGTGGATGGGCATGTTCTCCGTGGTTTCTAGGCCCGCCCTGTCATTTCTGCAAAAGTATTTACCAGGGCGCCCTCGGACTCCTGCCCTGTCCGACAGTGTGTCAGGATGGGTCAGTGGGGATTTCAAGCAGAACTTTGTAGAGGCAGAAAGTGCGTTTTTAGGACAACTGGACATCTTGCCTGGAACTCCGCACCATGCACACCACCTATCGTACCTGCAATACCAGCATGGACGCCTTTGGCTACCAGTGTCAGGTAATAGTAGTATGAGTTGGTTGACAGCAGATTTTCTTAGCGAGTTAGGGATTCGAAATGCTGCTGAAATTGACTTACATTTAAGGCAACAAACTCCGGTAGGATACCTCGCAACCGGTTTTCTCAGTCAAGTTTTGTTGAACGCAGCGTCGTCTCAGGAAATGAAACACGCCGAGCAAGGGCACGTACTTGCCGGGGACAGTTTGTCATCAGACGCGGTGACAGCAAGGGCAAAGCGTAGTATCGCTAGTAACTGGTGGGGCGGGCTTTGGGGAACCGATGACTATGCTCAAGGGTTGCTGTCAAATTTGTCATCGAGCAAAGAAGGGACTGAGGCACACAATCACAGCAGCAACGGCCATTGTCGTCAACCAGAGTGTGGCACAAAGGCCGCAGTTACCATGCCAACAGAGCTGTTTGTACAGTGCAATGATGGCGAAAGGACTGGACCCTTCTGCTACAAAGAGGAGCCAAAGGACAATGGAAGCCTTCAAACGGCCACCCGGACAGAATCTCTCCCTAGCCCTGATGGTCTCCCCTTAGATCACAGAGAAACAGTCTGTATCAGTAGTCATATTGTAAGTGTTGCAGCTGTCACTGCCTGCAGTGAGTTGGCAGTTCTCACCCCTGACCAGGATAATGGCTATTCCAGTCTGGAAGAAGAACACTCTACCTCTAGACTGTACATGTTGAGGCTTCCCTGTGAAGAGCTACAGGGGATCACAGAGATAAAAGAAGAGACAGACACACCAACACAGGGGAACTCTGAGAAGAGGGAGCCAGAGAGAGAGGCCTTAGAGGAGAGAGAAGAGGGTGAGATGGCCGCCACTGGAGGAACGGAAGGAGAGGAAGAGGTTGAGGACTCGGACGTCACAGACTCTGAGGAAGAGGAAACGGCGGCCGCTCCGCCCCCCTCCACACCTCAGTGCAGTAACAAGGCTATTGCCTACATCATGGGCAGCCCCTGCAGCGATGACAGCCAATCAGACGACTTGCTCAGCGAGGATGACGATGGTTTCGATAGTGATGGCTCGTCAGAATTCTCAGATTCCAAGGCACTGGATGAAGATGATGATGATGATGATGAAGAAGAGGAGAATGCGTCTGATTCAGAGCCGCCAGACTCAGAAACAGAGAGACTGTGGAACTCGCTGTGCCAAAGCAGGGATCCCTATAACCCCCAGAACTTTACCGCCCCCCTCAACACCACCCCTAGGACCATCCTGTCCACACCTACAGCCGCAGCAGCCTGCTCCCTTCAAGCCTCACCTCCAGAGCAACCCCCCTCTCCCTTCAACCCCTCTTCCCCCTCTCCTGCAGATGAGTTTGGCTCTGGGGATGAGTCCTGCAGCAGTGAGGTGGATGAGGCTGAGAGCCTGAGGCTGTGGAACTCCTTCAGCTTCCCCTCAGACCCCTACAGCCCTTTCAACTTCCAGGTCCCGCTCAGGACTAGAGAGCCGACTGGGACAGGGGCAAAAGCAGGTGCAGGGACACGTTGTAAGAGGAGCAGCAAGACAACCCCATGCTCCCCCCGTCATGAACAGGGCCAGGGACAGAGCCAGTACAGGGAAGAGGTGGCAGAGGAGAGGCTAGACAGTGGCTTCTCAGAGACCCTCGCCATCCCAGAGACCACCACCATGGGCTGTGTCACAGTAAAAAGGGTCAGTATGACTTCAGACACTGCTCTCTCTAGTGGAGAGTTCGTCATAGGCCTAAATAATGTTACATGCACTGTTATACATCTCTTCCTTATAATGTTTTTTCTAAAATTGTAGGTAGGCCTATTCTTACTTTTTATTAGTCACATTGTCATCCGTGGACCTTGGTCACTCGCATTCTTGTGACTGTTGTAAAATGTGGAAATCCATTGACTCATAAAATGATGAATCTTCCCACTCAGCAGTCAGAAACTGCTGTATTTGTAAATGAGTAGCTGAAGAGGAAGTGTTTTATCTCCTGTAGTGTACTTGCTGTATTATAACAGTATGTTACACTCTGCTACTCCCCTTTTAATCATTCATAGATGGGTCAAGGAGTTTTTCCTGACCATGTGAGTGAGGTGATGTGACCAGAGTTTTTCTAGGTGAAGTCACGTGGTTTATTTGTTTATTTTTTATTTTATTTCACCTTTATTTAACCAGGTAAGCCAGTTGAGAACAAGTTCTCATTTACAACTGCGACCTGGCCAAGATAAAGCAAAGCAGTGCGATAAAAACAACAACACAGAGTTTCATATGGGGTAAAACAAAACATAAAGTCAAAAAATACAACAGAAAATATATATATAAGGTGTGTGCAAATGTAGCAAGTTATGGAGGTAAGGCAATAAATAGGCTATAGTGCAAAATAATTCCAATTAGTATTAACACTGGAATGATAGATGTGCAAGAGATGACGTGCAAATAGAGATACTGGGGTGCAAATTAGCAAAATAAATAACAATATAGGGATGAGGTAGTTGAGTGGGCAAATTTCAGATGGGCTGTGTACAGATGCAGTGATCGGTAAGGTGCTCTGACAACTGATGCTTAAAGTTAGTGAGGGAGATAAGCCTCCAGCTTCAGAGATTTTTGCAATCTTTATTTGGATCCCCATTAGCTTTTGCAGAAGCAGCAGCTACTCTTCCTGGGGTCCACAAAAAAACACAAAACATGACAAGTAACAAAACACTGATGCACTGTTTTAGGGCTGGGCTGTAGTTAGTCGTAGGGCTGGGCTGTAGCTTAAGCAGACAGTAGTACAGCAAATTGACAGCTGTTAGACCGATAGCAGTGAGAGCTGTGAAACGTGCCTGTCCAAGTCAGTGGAATGGAAGATAATCACCATGAGAGTAGACTTAATCAACAATGAGCAAAATCCCACAGATGTCTTTGAAATGCTCTGGCTTCATTCTCCATGCCCTTTCTATTACATTACCCTCCTATTAGGAGCACAGAACTGCCATGTTACTTAGCAACAGTGCTAACTGGGCAAGACAGAGGGAGGGAAAGACATTTCTTGAATTTCTCTGATGGCCTTATTTTTTTCCCTTCTCTGGCTTGGTGCATCAGCTCATAACCTTCTCGCAATGCTCCTACAACATTTTCCCAACCCTCTATCCCATGCTGTGCAGATTCCAGTGTCTTTTCATCTTTAGTTAAGAACCTCAGCTCTGAATACTGTATGTTAGTAGCCCCAGTCTGCAGTACTCAGTGGGTTGCTGCTTATGGAGGCAATTTAGTGTGTCTCTAATGTGCTACGGGCCATCCATCAAACAGCCATTTCATGGTGATACTAATTCAGCTTCTCCCACTCTTTAACTCTACCTCACTTCGCCTCTCCACTTTCTGCTTCTGCCCGAATGGTTGCTGATGTAGTAGGATAGATGTGTAGTGAGTTAAAAAAAAAAAATCTGAAGAGAGCTGGAGCAAGTGTGTTTTTCCTTGTGTGTGAATGCCAGGGTTTAGGCCTGCAGTTTCAAATGAAAGTGTTTTTGGACATAATTGTAGTTCTGGGTTTTGGATGCATTGTGTCCTGCAGTTCTTTCAGAATATTTAGGAATATAACCCAGGTATGCTTTTTAAATATCCCCCAGGTGTTTAGCGATGTCGTTCAAAAAAAGTTAATGTAATTTTCAGTGACGTGTTGGAAGTTGAGATCTCTGTTGTCACATGTCTCCGTAGCAGGTGTGTTTTAGTGAGGAGGTTGTAGTCTATGTTGAGCTGACTTATGTTCTGTCGCATTCCAGGTGTGTTTCCGTGACGAGGTGGAGGAGTTCTACGCCAGCGAGGACGATGAGGACCGGTGCGGGCCGTGGGAGGAGCTAGCCAGAGACCGTGCTCGTTTCCTCCGGCGCGTTCAGGATGTGGAGGACGGCATCAGCTACGTCTTCAGCCCTACCTTCCGCCTCGCCGTCTACCAGAGACTACAGCACCACAGCTGATCCTGACCTCTGACCCCTAATGTCCTACAACACTGCTGATCATCAGTCCTGTTTCTCTGTGACCCCTCTAACACCAATCCCATCTTCAACAGAATGCATCAGAACTTCTAAGTCATGCTGCATCCCCTTCTCCCCTTCCCTGTCAACCCCCACCACTGACCCCAAAACCTCATCTTCAACCTTGACGTGTAGAAAAGACTACATCAGAGCGGTTGAGAAACCCCATACCCCCCTCACCCATCCCTCCTGACCCCCCTTACCGTCAGTCTGGGGTGTTGGAGAAGATTTGACAATAGACTTCTCTCTTCACCGCCCTCTTCCTGATCATTTGCTGTTTTGTTTTTATTTAACCTCAGTGGAGTGATTACCTAATTTATAATGTGATTCAAGATGACTGCATACTGCTAACTAGGAGGTATACTGGTAAAGGTGTACTGGTAATGTGAAGGTATAAGGGCTTACTGGTTCCAGTGGGATAAATTCAGTGGAACACAGAGCAGGTCTTGTGTTGGGCTGTGTGCTCAGTAACCTGACTGAAACGCAGCTCTACTCGAGACACTTCAGTCAAGACTGTTCTTTATCTTTAGTTTTAAAATTGCTTCGATTTTTTTATCCCGTTGATTTAACTGCACCTTTTGGAGTTGTGCTGTCCTTCTCTCTGACATGTGCCATCTGGGTCTCTGCTCTGTAGTGTTCTCAGTTTCATGTTAATCTGATCCCAGGCCTGCCTACTGTCATGTTCAGTATTTAACAGAGGTTCAGTATAATCTCCCTGAGCAAATGTCACACTGCTCCCCGGAGCTGAATCAGGTTGGTTAAGAGCTTTTGGAAAACAAACCTGGTTTGAAATAACAGAAGAAAAATAAATAATTAGAGGCTTCCTGTAACCCATGACATGCAGAGTACACATTAACGTTGAAAGTGTTCTATTTGATTTGATCATAAGCAGAGGGTGTAAACCTACAGTATGTTGATGTGTAAAGCAAGCCTCTAAACTGTATTGATGGTAAAGTGTTGAAACCAAGCCTGTGTTGGTGCGGTGTGTTCCTGGTTTCGTTTATTAGCCATTGACTTCAGTTCTATCGTATGTGTATTATTAACTACCTACAAAGACAAAGACGCCCCTAACTGGCTCTTCCTGTATTTACACCTGCAGACAGAAAGACAGACAGAGGGCACTTATTACTTCCTCATTACAGCCCACAGTATGAATACACTAACCATCATAGAATAGACAATAGCATTGCTCTGCTTGTGGCCTATACATTAATGTCCAAGACACACAAAAAAATTATCTCTGGCCGCAAGCCAACGATCAGTAGAGGTCCTCTCTGACTATTTCTTGCTGAAGTGAATGCTTATAGGTAAGGGTGAAGTGAAATTATTTGCATGATCCTTGCATCTTTAGTGGCCTCCTCCTCGTCTACCTCCCTTAGTCATCACTGTGGTTTCCTCTAACAAAACAATATTGCTTTAATCTATCTACAGTTTGCACCAATAGGTTTCCTTCAATGTGTTCACTTTTCTAGAGCTTGCGTCCATCAGTGGTCATCTAGGAAAGGAGACGAAGAAAGCAAGCAATCTAAGACGTCTCCATTTATAGACTACCTATCCCCACTATTTATTAACCCTGTCATGCCTGTACAGACCTAGTGTTGTGTTACTCATTTTGAGGGGTTAATGTCTCCGCTGTGGCTGAAGAGTTAACCTCTGGTGTGACCAGGTGGAAAGAAAGCAGGGATGTGAAATGCACGCTGTTCTGAAGTGATTCTCAGTATGATGGAGAAAATAAAATATATAAAAGATGTGCTCGGATAATTAAGAATATAACTCATTTAACTTGGTGTTATTTTAGTCAGTACAATTAACATGAAATTGATTTATTTTTGTAAAACAGTTTAGGATGAGTTAGTAGTTCTACACTGTTCCTTATAATATACATTTAGAATTAATATTCAGTGAAAATAAATCAATATTGAATTATGAACGATGTTTATCTCTTTTCTTCTCCCACATCTCCTAGTATTAAAGAATAATTTTCTGGTCTTATTTGGTTTGAATGTTGACACCCACCGACACTGGAGGGAGGAGGAGATGGAGGACAGACAGCTCTGGAAGACCCATTTTTCTTCCTGGCGACACCAGATGACCAGATTATGATGATCATCTTCATCATAAAATGGCACTTGACCCCAAAACGGTACTGCGCCATCAAACACGATGGCTATGTTCGAGAGCATCAAATCCATGATGCATTGTGGGTAAATGGTGACTGACGAATAATAATGAGTAGTTATTTAAGCAAGGTGATTTATAGATCAGTCAGTTGGAAGTTGCCTGCACTGTCGGCTGTAATGTTGAACAAGCCCAATGATATAGTGATCCCCTTTCTACCAGACACACAGTAACATCTGTTTTACACAACACATTTCTTTCTGAACATCCTGTAACTTTGCATGCACCGGACCTGTACTAGGCCCCAGTATTTAATATAGAGTCAGTGGTAGTGCAATCCCTAGCAACTGGAGCCAGTCAGCAATGTGAAGGTGCAGTAGGAGGTAAGAACATGCACAGCTGTCAGACATAGATAGTCTCCCCAAAACATCACAGGCATACTCCTCCTGGAAAGGATTTTAGAAAGATTTGCATATTTTTTAGGCGGTATTGGCCCCAATCCTAGTAGAGGCATTCAAAACAAGGTATGAGATTGGTGGCTGAATATATGCAGATAAACAAATCCTTATACAGATCCTTTACACATTATGGATAGCAATCCTTTTAGTGGGATAAGATATTGTCAGTGGTATTTTGTTGTGGTTATTTGTTGTGGTCCTCTGTAGCTCAACTGGTAGAGCACGGCGCTTGTAACGCCAAGGTAGTGGGTTCGATCCCCGGGACCACCCATACACAAAAAAAATATATATAATAATGTATGCACGCATGACTAAGTCGCTTTGGATAAAAGCGTCTGCTAAATGGCATATTATATTATATTATTATTTATATTACTTATGCCCACAGGAGGGAGCCATATTCTCAAGTCATCATTCTCAACCACTAGAGGTCGCTCTTGCTTGTCATAACAGTAGAAGAGGACCAGTCGATAGAGACAAACGACCAGTCTATGGAATGGAGAGAACTGTCACTGTGCAATGGTTATCAGCTAATTGTGATTTGCAGTGTTATAACATGACCAATTTGTATATGAATGAATTGAAATTCATTGCACTATACTTTTTTGCAAACCAAATAGCATACACTAAGTATTTGTTCATTTATTATTGGTAGAAACTGTGAAAATGTGTAGTGGGATACACCCAAATTATGTTAATTGCTGGATGCAGATTTCTTTAGTTTAATGAGTGTATGTCCTTCCCGGTTTTTGTGGTTACAATATTATCAAAATATGAAGAACTGATCAAATCTGAACCAGTTCAGTTGAGATTAGTCTATATTTTCTCATATGACGATCAGTGTGGCCTTTATGCTCAAAGTCTGATTTGCATTGTGTTCTTACCATTCCACTGTCTGTTAGCTGCTCTCCTTTTGTCCTTCTTCTTCTTTTGTCGTTCTGAGATCTCTATTCTTCTGAGGTAATGTGCTTCTCCTGCAGGGACATCCTGGAGGGACTGACCAATACTTTCATCTCATTGGCTGACTGGGATGCCTGGGGGTGGTGCTTAGGATGAGATTACAGGTCTCTCTCTCCCTCTCTCTCTCTCTCTCTCTCTCTAATGAAAGGGGGATTGAACAGCCGTGACATCACCACCCACCACTGATCCCAAAATCACTCTCTCCCCCTCCCTCCCTCTCTCTGTCTTCCTCCCTCCCTTCTGCTCCCCTCCATCTCTCTCTATCTTCACTGCTTACAGAATGACTGCAGCCTGGATGGGGTCATGTGACATTTAAATACCCTGGTATTTTCGACTGGGCATGCTCCATTGCATCACTCGGTCGCTCCCCCTCCTCCTCGTCTTCCCCTCATTCCTCCTTTATCCATCCTTTCCTGACGATGCCTGTTATTGTCCTGTATCCCTGCTCAGTCACACTGGTGCCTGTAGCTACTGGGGCTGCTGTCTCTATCTGTCTCTCTCTGTTTCTCTCTCTCTCTCTGGTTCTCTGACTGACTGAGAGCTGTATTTCCCCTGTTATTGTGAGGACTTGGAGGGATAGATAGACAGTGTGTTCTGCCTGGTCACACTCTCTCTTCTCTCCCATCTCCTGCTGTCTAACCTGGCCGACCGACCGCCTGCTGCTCTCTGCTCTCCAGATGGATGGATGTACACTGTTCTAGCCTGACTGTCTGACACCCTCACTGACTGACTACAGAGGAGGAAGGAGGGACACGCTGAACACATCAGCAAGTGGCTGGTAAGGGACACGCAGATTCATAAAATGTATGTGTGTGTGTGTGTGTGTGCACCAATGCATTTGCAACATGTCTTGGTTTTACATAAACAAGCTAGTGAGAGGGAGCGCTAGTGAGTGTGTGTGTTGTCCATTACACTGTTATCTGTGTGTATTTGTTTTAATGCATACTGTGTATTGCTTTGTGTTGATGGTCATAAGACTGTGTCTATATTCATGCACACAGTGTTTGCTCTCTCATACTACAGAAACAGGGTTTGGTCAGAGGGATAGAGGTTGGCTAAGGGTTGAAGTAATGGTTGTGGTTGGGTTTGGGGGCTCAGATGTGGCTGGCACCAGTTGCCAGGTTGTTGGTGCCAGTTTTGGGGCCCTGCTGCAGATGGGCACAGTCTGTCAGTCAGGGACCCCAGCAGTGCCACCACCTCTTCTAATGCACACACACACACACACACACACACACACACACACACACACACACACACACACACACACACACACACACACACACACACACACACACACACACACACACACACACACACACACACACACACACACACACACACACACACACACACACACCCTGCATATACATTCACACATACAAAATACTTGCTATTACACTCCAATCCCATGCATGTTGATGGGTATTGTTTAGCAGTGCTCTGCTGAATGTTAAACACCTCATGGCAGGACTAAGCCCATCCAATCCTATCCCAGACAAGCCTGGCAGAGCCGATCTGAGGCAAAGCAGGGGGGATGAGGTGGACTTTGATTCAGAGGATAAGCGTTATTGACTTCAACAGGCGGTTGTCCTGTGTGCTGTGTGTGTGTGTGTGTGTGTGTGTGTGTGTGAGTGTATGTGTGTGTGTGTGTGAGGCTCTAGGTGTCTGATTAACATTGGCATTAATACACCCTGACAGTGATGGAGGAATTAGACTGACCCTTTAATGCTCTTAGCGTTAGGGTATTGTAGTATGTGTGTGTGTGTGTGTGTGTGTGTGTGTGTGTTGTTTCTTTGAGACCCTGGCAGCTGCTGGCAGGTGAGGTGCTTCTGATTTAGGCATTAAACTGGATTTGTGACTCTTCTCTATGAATGCGTGTGGATGGACACACACACACAAACACACATGCACGTTCCCACACACACACACACTCCACACACGTCCTGTCTGTTGTCAGGTCACACTGTGTTCTGAGGGTGATTCCTAGCCCCCTACCAGGGGTGTGGCCTGAAATGATCCCCAGAATAGAGACGTATTTTCGAATGAATTCCCTCTCCTCTGTCCCAAGCACCTCTGCTGACAACACTGCTGTCTGTTTGGCTGTTTTCTCACTGTGTCTCTGTCTGCCTCTCTCACTCTTCCCTCACTCTCTCTCCACTCACTCTCCCCTCACTCTCTTTCTCTCTCTTTCCCTCTCTCTCCACTCACTCTCCCCTCACTCTCTTTCCCTCTCTTTCCCTCTCTCTCCCTCTCTCCCCTCAATCTCTTTCCCTCTCTTTCCCTCTCTCTCCCCTCACTCTCTTTCCCTCTCTCTCCCTCTCTCTCCCCTGATTCGCTTTCCCTCTCTCTCCCTCTCTCTCCACTGACTCTCTTTCCCTCTCTTTCCCCCTCTCTCCCCTCACTCTCGCTTTCCCTCCACCTCTTCTGCTGATTGCTGTGTGTTGATTGATTTGTAGAAGGTAAATAGAACTGTTGTCCTGCATTTCCTTTGGTTGACTAATGGTTGTTTTCCTACGTTGACTGCAAGATGTCGTTTGTTATGGTTTTGCTGAGCTGTGAGTGTGTGTGTGTTTCTGCAGGGAGTGGGGTTATTGCTGCAGTGCTTGCTTAATGCACCCGCTCCGGCAGAGGGTGTGATCAGGAATTTAAGCACGTCTCAGTGCACACACACGCACACACACACACACACATACAGCCTGCTTTGGGTATTTCAGTAGAATACTGAGCAGGGTGGAGTGAATACAGTGGTTCTATGCAGAGCACTGCTGCAGAACTACAACAACAACTGCATATATCTCCCTCCCTCCCTTCGTCTTCACCTCTGCTCCAATCTCAATCATTACCGAGTCGTAGAAATGGGTGTGGGATATGTGTTTGGGAACGGAGCGAATACACACTGAGTGTACAAAACATTAAGAACACCTTCATAATATTGAGTTGCACCTCTACCTTTTGCCATCAGAACAGCCTCAATTCGGTGGGACATGGACTCTACAAGGTGTCGAAAGCATTCCACAGTTGTGTCAAGTTGGCTGGATGTCCTTTGGGTTGTGGACCATTCTTGATACACAAAGGAAACTGTTGAGCGTGAAAAACCCAGCAGTGTTGCAGTTCATGACACACTCAAACTGGTGTGCCTGGCACCTACTACCATACCCTGTTCAAAGGCACTTAAATATTGTGTCTTGCCCAATCACTCTCTGAATGGCACACATACAGAATCCATGTCTCAATTGTCTCAAGGCTTAAAAATCCTTCCTTAACCTGTCTCCTCCCGTTCATCTACACTGATTGAAGTGGATTTAACAG